GCTCAAAATCCACAAAATGTGTTTTAAACATGAGTGATCAAAAAGCATTTTTTTTCTTCTTAATATCTTCCATTCCCATCGGTCATGTAGCCGTATAGCAAGATCGAGCGAAATGCAGCTATATAGACGCAGATTCTCATTTTTATGGTATTTTCGTGACGACTCCACTTTGATAACCGAAAAAATATATTTCTAGCTGTTATAGCAATTATTCGGTTTGCAATTTCGTTTTTCGCTATTTATAGCCTATTTATATTTAACGCGAAAGGGAAAAGAGTGGTTCAGTGAGTTGTTGCTCAATTTGGAATGCCGATGATGAGGCTCTATTCCCCGCAGAAGACCAGGAGATTCCCTGGCATATTTGTCCAATGCAACAAACCAGCGGAGCAAATTCGACCAGTAATGGTAAGGACTCTTTAAAATAAAAAAATATAAGGCCATATGAATTTTATTTACATTGATCCTATCCGATTTATTTACATTTATCCGATATAAATCCAATTTTCGCTACCGTTATGTTGCTTAAGATTATTTGTATTTGCCACAAAAAGGACTATATCATCGACGTATTCAATATTTATGCCCTGAACATCTCCTTGTAAGTTTTGCATTTATTTTATGCAATGAAACACCATTTTCTAAGTGGAATCTAAAATATAATTTTCTTTTTATGTTATAACTCTATAAAATATTTTGTTTTTTCTTTTCTCTACCGTCGCGTAGTTGATATTGCAGGGAAAAAGATTCAACCTTAATGGATCAGTTCTTATTTTAAAAGTTCCTCATATACCCAGGCTTGTCGATGTGCTATAAAATGCCTTTATGAGTCGAATGATCTTCTCTAGAAACGTCATACTCCATCATCCTTCAAATCAATCCAAGGCAGCTGCAAAATCGACTAAACAAGACGATATTTGAAGCGATGTTTCCACACCCTCCTAAACATGGATGTCTGGTCAGTAAAATCACTTTGCGGTCTTGGTTGGCATTCTGTTGTTTTGAACTGTCATAAATCTACTCAGCAGAAGGGAAGCAAAAAATTTCCCGGCAATGCCTAATAGGCTGATTCGTCGATAACATCATGTCCTGTCATGTTTCTTAGGAACTGGAAGCAGAATTTCTTTGCTTCAGTCATCTGGTATTATTTCATTCTTTCATATCAGAGATTACATTTATTGAAGGTGTGATATGAGGGAAGATGGATAACATTTGAACAGTTCAGCAAGGAGAACATATTTTTCAAGAGTTTTATTAACCTTAAGTTTCTGGAATACAGAGATCATTTCCTGTTTTGCAAACATAATACAAACATATTGTTCAACAGTTAATACAAACATATTGTTCAACGAACGAATTAGCCATGTTCGAAACAAAAGATGGCACATTGCGATTATGTATCCTCAAAGAATTTCTTCCATCTTATGATCCTTAATAGCCTTAACAGGCACGCCATTGCTATCCGTATCATTTCACTGATCGTTTCTGGAGTCATAGTGGCTTTATAAAAGGTAAATAGATTCCTACTGTCACCTAATCGAGCTATCGTCTTCATTCTCAAAGCCATATTGCTCTAATAGCGATTTCCATCCCGTCGTGCTCCTGTCGTTATAATTCCTCAAAATGTCCATCAAAGCATCCATATTCAAGATCTCCTGACATTCGCGCTTAGCCTTTTAGGACAGTTGGACAATTGTTTCCGTTTATAGCTGGCGCATTTTCATACTAATATACCTTATTGTTGAAGTGGCTGATTTTTATAAGCATGCTTTTAGTTCAGACCACTATTTATTTGCAATTCCAGAGATATCATTGATATTCATTTCACTTCATTTCACTAAGGTATTTCAATAATTCGATTTGCGCTTATTGTTCCCGAATCCTTTAGTTTGAGATAATTGAAAAATATTGGAAGACGTTGTTTTTTGCGAGTTGCTAGTTTTTATGCGAATCTTGGCTCTGATGTGATCTGTGAAGGTTACCCGTTTTAGCGCCCTGATAGGAACGACTACTATTCAGAATAGAATGAACGGTGATTGTGGTTATCTGGGAGAGTTCCACGTGATGTCTTCTCCGATGCTCAAAGCATGTATTAGCAAAAAAAGTTCAGGTTCATCAGCAAAACGAAGAAGGCGCTCTCCACTGACGCACCGGATCTTGATGCCATATTACCGAATTTATCGTGGCAGCATCGTGACTTACGCGCGCATTTCAGTCTTCCACAATTAGAACCATGTCACTTTTCGGTAAAGATGTTGTGAGTTGAAGCCCCGCATAGAACTCATCCATATCGCGATCATAAAATTGGAGCACATACACAGATGACCGAAATATTGCAAAACTTTTCTTTGAAGCGAGCATAGGCCATGTGGTCGTTTACCAGCTTCCACTCAATCAGAGCGGACAGAGCTTTTTCACTCAAGACAATTGGTACGCCGTTTTGTCCCAAGTTCTCCGAAACACCACAATAATATGGCCAATACCTCTGTTCGGAGCTAAGCTTAGTGACTGCACGCGAAACTTGAAGTCCAACAAAAATGCGACATGCACACGATATTTAGGAAGAGTGTATATGTAAGAGTGACAGTGATCGGTTGACTTGCAACGTCCATAAATGTTCTCACATTCCAAGCAACTATAACAAACACTTCGCTGTGTATACAGAGTTTCTCTTGACATGTTTCGAACATTCACCCTGGCTCGCGAGCATATCATATTCTCAAGCCTTGAGATTGTTGATACGCCCGGATTGCATGCCTATCGGCATGAGAATAGAGTATCATGCTGCGTGTCGAAGGACGAGGATTTTGTATCAAAAAGACCTGACCCTTTCATTACAGAGTCATTTGGAAATATAATTACGGGTGGGTCCTCAGCATTCACCCAATTGGTATGTTTACTTCTGTCAAAAAAAGCGAAAAAAAGGAGCAAAACTATGGAAGAAAAAATAAAATTGACAACTTAAAAAGGAAAAGGAAATAATAAAGAAAGGAAAGAAAAGAAAAAAAACAAAAAGCGTAAAAAGAAATAGCCGACCGAAACAGGAAACCGAGCACTCAAGGATTTTTTATGCCTGTAAATCAAATTTGCAGGTATAAAAACATTTTTTTGCTTGTTGGTGCACTTCAGTTATCTTTCAGTGTATTTATCTAATTATTACTAATTATTAATTTGAAGCAAAATTTCACCATAATTTTAATCTTTTTCTTTATTTTAATTTTTTTCACATAAATTATCCAATGTCTTTTAAATAGTTAGTAATGGGGTGGGTTAAATGCTAAATTGCTTACGAATCATTGCGCCGATTAGTGCCGTTGGGAATTTTTTCCTGCGATAGAAATATTTTAAGTGAGTAATTTAATATAAAATAATATAATAAAATAATGTAAAATGCAAAATTTTTTTTTTGTTGTTTTTGTTATTTTATTTGTTCCCCATTTTTGGCCATTCTGAATATTTTAGGAATTTTACTCATTTTTTTCGCAATCTTTTTATTCTGACATATAAAAAAATTTAGAAAAATCAACCGTAAAAAATCTCCATAGTTCGTTTCATTCTTCATAGTTCGTTTAATTCTTTTACCCTTGGATCCAATTTTTACAGGTATTCTGGATGCATTATGTTATGCTTGCGATTTATTTCTATTTTGGAAAATCAATATTGGCCTTTATAAGGAAAATTAGGACCAATTTAATGAATTTGAATGTATAGTGAATAATGGCCAATATGTTTCGGTGATAATTCATCAATCTCGCGAGATTGAAATTTTACAATTTTCGGTTTTTTAATTTTTTTGGAATTTTCTCGATTTCCTTGAACTAAAATTTAAAAAATTTAAAATTAAATTAAATTTAAAATTCAAATTTAAAATAAATAAAAATTTAAAAAGTTAAAGAATGCTTTTTCAGCCTGAAACAGTTATCATTCATTCATTTTATGATGCTTTTTCTTCGTGATGTTTGTAATAAATCCATTTCATACAAAATTCACAACAAAAAAGGAACATTTGCTGTCGGCTGCAGGTATCATTAATTCAATGCCAAATTTACTCCCAGCTAAGTGCCAATTATATTGAAATAAGTGAATGAAGGAAGATTTATTCGAGAGTGCGAAATTGGATTGCGAAGTAGCATTAATACTCAATTAATAAATCGAGAATTTGAAAAAATTGATCACTGCAATTATTTTAATAAATTGAACCTTGTAAATCTGCAGTTATTTTCATAATATCTTTCTAGGCTTACCCATAATAAAAAAGAAAAGACTGGCACTCATCATTTATGGTTAGATTTCCTCCTCTAATTGTTAGAAATTTTAAAAATTTTAACCAGGATTTATTCAGCGACAGCATAAATGAATTACCAGTACCGCTAAAAACTTTTTAACAACAGGTTTAATCCTACAGGCGGCACAACAAAAGGCACCTCTCGCTACAATTACGTGAAAAATCACTATCCACTCACCTATTCCGCCCTTAGTTACCTACAGTACAAAAAATTGTTCTATGCTATTAATTATTAATATTATTAATAGTATGAGTCGATATCAATGTATCGGTTAAAAGTAAATGTTTTCAATTTTTTTTGGTAGTTTTATGGTTTTTGCAATTAATAATATTTAAGCGAATTATACTTAGTTGTCGTAAAATATTGGTCATCAAAGTAGATGCTGCAAGGGTAGCACGACGGTGATTTAATTTTCTTGCAGGTCTTGCAAGGACCATCTAAAATTATACTTCTTTAATATCCTTTTGTTCCTCATAAGTTATGCTTTATTCCATTTCTATACAAATTCTCCGATCTGCGCCATTCCATACAGGTTTGTCTCCAGAAAATTATTGAGGCTGGCTAAATAGTCCTCTCTCTTGAAATTTAATGATATGCTCGAAAAAGTTTGATTATTTTTGATTTTGAAGTTTGTTTGTTTAAATAAATTGTAATGAGATTTTTCCCTCTATGATTTTATGATTTTATTTTATTTTTTCATTAATTCAAAAAATTTTCATGCTACCTTTCGATAATGAATCCAGCATAATCACCAATAATAACGAAGTCCTTAAAAATGCCGAAATATATTTGAAAGATAAGATATATGGACCAGAATCATTAGCGATCCATGAAGGAACTCAACACATATTCAGTGGTTTACGAAATGGTTTGATAATTGAGATGGATATCAATGAACAAGGAGAGGTCGATTCCACGCTTGAACTTTTATCGCATCGAAGGACTACACAAAAATGCTTCCAACAAAATATTTCAGATAAATATTGTTCGAGAGTTTCGACTTCATGACATACACCAAGGAAGCTGCGATGGTACTTTTAAGAGTTTTCCGAAATGTGGCCGCCCTCTAGGAGTCCGATTCAGAAAACTGTATAGAAATAAACTATTTATTGCTGATGCATATCATGGTTTATATGAACTCGATATAATCACTGGTTAGAAATTTTTACCAGAAATTAGCCAATAAGCCATTCCTTCAATGTCTAAATGAATGTAAGAAGAGTTAAGCTCGAGCTTAAGCTCTGTACTAATTGTTGAAAAGTAATCATTGGAAATTATATCAAAAGGCAGTAGTATTTTACATTCCTTTAAATGTTAAAAACATTCTATTCCCATCTTTTCAATCTTTTTCTCCAGTATTTTCAGTTAATTAACGTAAGACAATAATGAGTTGTTGCAGGCAAATCCAAACTAATCCTGCAAGCTGGAACATTAATAACAAATAATATAAGTGATCTACCATTACGACATTTAAACGATTTTGATGAAACATTCAATGGTAAAATAATACTCTCAGAACCATCAATGAAATTTTCCGACCGAGATTGCATACTTGCAATGTTGGAACATAGCGGCGATGGGAGGTAACACTGTAGAAAATATATTCATTCAGACATTTTTAAATTTTATTACACGACAAGCACCATGGTTCCACGCAGAAATAAAATTCTTACTAAATCTAAGTGAACCGCCCTATATTTCTATCTCCAAGTTAAAAGTTTGATCCTTACTAACAATCATGAGTCATGAGCCTGGTGTACCAGAAATGATCGGTGAGAGTATATATTTTCATACTATTTTCAATATATTTTCGAATCTGCAGAAGCCAAAAAATTGTCAGTTATTTCCATGAACTTGTATTGTGTATTTTTTTACGTATTTTGTTACTTATCTTATCTCAGTAAAAATATGCTAAGCAAATGTTTGGAAAATGCTACTGCTTATTGAAATCATAAATGCTTGAAATCAGAAAACAAGTGTGAAAATTCTATAATATTTCATCCACCACAATTTTTTTATTAAAGAATTTCAGGATATTATCTTATGATGACCGAAGAAATGAATTAAAAGTGATAGCAAGCGGCCTGCAGTACCCTAATGGGATTCAGATTGAAGGAGACAACTGTGTGTTGGTGTCGGAAATGGGTAATTTTAGAATTTTAAGGTAAATAGGCATTTATTTATCGTAAAAAAAAAGTAATTGATGGTTAGTGCTCATTATTTCTAATTAGGCTAGCCACGCTGACTTTTAGGGATCATTTAGAGATACAAGAGCAAATGGTCAGCATCACCTGGAAATATTTGCTGCAATATATTGCAATATATATTAGCTACAAAATTAGATTGAAAGGGTAAGTACTTTTAAAAAATACTTTCCATTTTGAGATATAGATGATTATATTATACTGGTAAAATTCTGGAAGGAAAATCGTCTGCGTATGACTTTTTTTTTCAGATTTTGTTATGATGAACCCAACTGGAAAGCCACTATATTTATAGATAATCTTCCTGGCTACCCAGACAATGTTCGCCTTTCTGCTCAAGGCTTTGTTTGGATTCCTTTGCCAGAAGTGCGATTAGAAGATGATAAGTGGCTAACGATGAATTCATTTTTGCGAAACATGATTGCTGCGGTTCATTGATTTAAATTGATTTATTTAAATTAAATTTTCCAGTTTGAAATGACGAGTGATTTCAGTTTATCCCTCCATCAATACTTATGGATTTGCTAAAGTGGATTGCACCTAAATATGGCTTGGTTCTAGCTGTTAACCGAGATAATGCTTCTATCATCCGCAGTCTGCATGATCCTGATGGCCGAACCATCTCTGCTATAACCGAGGTTATTTTAATAACTTGCCATAAAGACATTTTATCTTTTCATAAACAATAAAACACAAATAAATATAAATACAAGTCAGCTGAAATTTTGGATCCCGCCAAAATCTTTCGCGAATTTGCTTCGATTGTTTCCAGCATGTGGCCTTGATTCTCTCTCAGAAATTGAAAAAATTCCTGCGAATTTTTTTTATAGGTGGCGGAAATGAATGATGGCACTTTACTCTTTGGGAGTGATACGAATAATTTCATTGCGAAACTCGATAAAAATTATTAACCACCTGTTTCATTTTTGAGTTTCATTTGAGTTCCATTCAATTTTAATACTTTGAAACGTTCAGCAGAATTATTCTTTTACTGTCTTTTACTAAATTTATTTGTGCGTTTTGCTCATTGTAAAAGTGGGTCGCGCTCATCACTCGACTAGCTCCGCTGGTTTTTTGTAAGTTAGGAACTTTTGCCAGGGTATCACAAGAGAAGAAGTATGGAAGAAGTGGTTCATCAGCTCTAATCGCAATGACACATTTATTCTTTTTCAATGACACATTTATTCTTGTCGAATCAGATTTTAACAAGATAACTGAAACGAGTATCCATTAGGCTATCCTACACTTTACTACACTTTATCCTGTGCACAACGATAAATTCATTAATTTTTATTCAAATCAGATTTCATCAAAAAATTGAATCGAATAGTGTTTTATTTTCCCTGAGATTTCTAATCATTTCTGGTTAAGTTCGCCCAGCTGGCTCTTCGCATCAGATAAATCTTACTAGGGGGTCACTTAACGATATAAGTGAGCCACAAGCAGAGCCGGATTTTCGAAAGAATTTTATTCCAGCGTTCTCTTAGCATTGGTACTCCGAAATGAGAGCAACAACCCACTGAGTACCATTTAGGAAATCTATTTAGGAAATAGAATTGCATTATGTATTTGTCATAAAACATTAATAAAAAAAATTAAAAAGTAATGAGAACTATTATAATAGTAAAATTATTATTTTTATTGTAAAAATTATGAATGCATATTGATTTTAAATTCTTGCAAGTATAAATGTTTTTATTGTTGGTTATTCATTCATTTGTTAAAAGAAAATGCATATTTTTCTGTTTCGTTGAAAATTTTTCAGACTATTAAAAATTCTAAAAATGATAATCGAGTGAATCGATTCAATCTTCCCATTTAGTGAATCACATATATGAAAATAAATGGAATATTTATTATATTCAATAGAATTTTTCCTGAAGATAAAAGCAAACAAAAATTGATAAAATTATAAGAATTTAATCCCATGGTGCTGGAGACCGATCCGGGTACTTCCACCTCCAAATGGCTCTCGAAAGAAAAAGTTCCACTCAGATAGTCAAGTGGAGCCAACCAGAGATGTTGTTGGATGCTTTAAGACAAGTTTATCAGTTTGCAAAATCGCTAATATTCAGAGCGTGGGTAAATGGACATAATGTAAATATTATGAAGTTGTACCAAAGGTTTTCCTTATTTCGCTGTTTGTTAGCATACAGCAGAAGTAAATGATCACCGGAATTTTGTTAAAATTTTATCGACAGTTGCAAAGTAAATAAATAGATGTACGAAATTTTGCTGAGAATAATGTCATTATAAATTTTGTTATCGCCGAATCAGGCTAATGAAATATTTTCTTCTAAAAATTTTAATCACCTTTACTGCCACAGTATATTGCGGCGACCAAAGTATTGCCATTTCAGGGCGATTCACTTGTAATGGTGTGCCAGCTAAAAATGTCCTCGTCAAAATTTACGATAAATTCAGTAAGAATTACCAAAATTACCTGTTTTACTAATTTTTTTCAAATATTAATTTTGATTTAATTTTTGATATGAGCAACCATATATTTAAGAAAAGTTAGAAATTAAAATTATTTAATTTATTTACTGATTATTTACTGATTTATCCTATATCAGCAATCCATAATTGGCTCATTAATTCCTAAAACACCATCCTGCACTCCATTTTACTTGTTCTCATTTCGGATTTACTTCACTCACGAATAACGAGAGATCTTTTCGCCAGATATTACCTTGAGGACAACTGTAATAGATGGACCTTCTTCCGATTTTACTTTCGATGTTCAGTTTGCTCCAAAGGGAGAGCAATCCAGTAATGCCTGGTCGCAGTCGAAAGCAACAAAAAATCTAGCATGAAGTTTGATAGATTGGGCCGAGGCCAGAATTTATTATGGAATAGTTTGCAGTGCACAAGCAGTTAGATGCAATTGAATTATTCTGTTATCAAACCAACAAAAAAATTTTTTCAATCGTTTTCATTTCATAAATCTAGATTATCATTTGAATTATCCTGGTTCAAAGTCCCCTAAAAGGAATTAATCTATCAATAAATCCAGCCGTATTAGATTCTCTCATTTTCTTTTATCTCCAAGCAGTTCGGCCAAATTGTCGTAAATTTCGTAAAAGATTTCATTCTACTTTCCTTCATTTACCTTTTTTTGTTTCAACATTACGTGTTAGAACATTAATTATATTCTTATATCTTTTTCTTCTTTAATCTTTTTCATCTTATTTTTCAGAAGTTGCACCCGATCGTCTAATGGGCAAAACACGTTCAGATTCGGATGGCTATATTAATATAATTGCTCATAGAAACGCGATGATTAAGGTCGATCCTAAGATTAACGTTTATCATTACTGTCGCCGTGGTATCAATGTAAGCTTAAGAAATTGACTTACCATAATTTTGAAAACAAGTTAAACTTTCTATGATTTTTGGAGTCATTATTTGCAAATTTAATGCCTAAAAATTATTAAATTACTTCGATATTTAATTATTTACAACTCAAACCAAGTAGATGTTTCTTAAATTTTGCTCCATAAGTTGCTTTGACAATCGTATTGCACTTATGAGTTCCTCTTTTGAAGCTAATAGATAACATAAAATGTAGATGAGTATAATGTCGTATGAAAATAGATAGATTTTTATCAATATAATTTTGTCATTTTATTATTATTATTTTGATCACCTAGATTGAAGAAGATACGGAATTTCACCAAGCGATTTGTCGAAATAAGGCGAAAACTTCTTTTATTTAGGTTTAAGTTACAATGGGATATGAGGACTTATGCCAAGTGTCTTTGGGCTAGAGCAAACAACGACTACCAAAAATTTTTGTGATCTTATAAAATAAGAGTTAAAATAATTTTTTGCGGATAAATTTAAATTTTAAACTTGCTAACTTTATAAAACTTTTCCAAAGAAAATCAAATTAAGTTTAAGTTGAATTCATTATTTTGGCAAAGATTTTTTATCCTTTTAAATAAACATTTCGCTATCGAAAATGGATTAGCCAAGATGGATTTTTTAAACTATTTTTTTGTTTTTTTTTCTTTTCATGCTTCTTTCAGCCTTGCGCGAAAAAGTTTGTTCTGAACGTTCCGAGCGATTATGTTTTTTCAAGTCTGAAGCCACAGAAAAATTTTAATTTGCAGACCATTGAACTAGCAGCACAACTATCTGTTCGTGATTGCATTCACTAAATGATTCTATGATTTTATTGAAGCACTGATAATTATTAACTTTGCGATTTTGCGAATATTATTAAATACTATTAAGGGAGCATCTTTGTGTCGCAGTATAAAATTTTTCAAAATTTTATTCAGGTAATGCAAGTTCCTACCCTCAGTCTCAGTATAAACAAGAGGACTGCTCATTTCAGTTTTCTATTAGCACTCATATTTTTGGCTGCACTGGTTATTAAAAAAATATCGTCATAGATCCATTTAGGGATAGATACATTTAGGCATCTTTAATTTTTCAAATTAACTAAAGACAAATTGACTGCCATCAAGGAATCGAACCTACGATGCTAATCGAAGTGCTAATATAATCGACCATTTTTATCTCACATTATCACTCAACTTTTAAAAGTTTTCTTCCTTAACTACATATTTTACTTAGGAAACATGGAAAATGCGCGTTCATGTATCGAATAAATTCAATAGCAAATATTTTTTTCGTTCAATGTCGAATTATTTTTTCTCGCAAAAGTATTGCTCAATGAATCATAATCGTTTCACCTTCACAGCCGATTTACGAGTTTTCATCCGATAATTTAAATCCTACTATTTCCCTAAATAAATAATTTAAAAACAAATTAACTGTCATCAAAGGACCAAGAATCGAACCTATGACAGACATGGATAAACTATGTTTGTACTGTAAAAGACAAAGCAAATCACCAAAAACCACAATATATGTAAACAAAGATAAAATAATATAAGTAAAATAAATAATATAAATAATATAATATAAAATATAATTACAAAAATAAAAAACAATAAATATCCAATAAATTTAACAAAGAGGAGAATAAGTTTATTGCTCTCATATCGAAGCATCGACGCTAGAGCTCTACTTCCGATATGAGCAATCTTATGTTTTAAAAATCAGGGGATACCACTTATACTTTTATAGGATAAGCCAGCGGAACCTAACCAGAAATTCGCTCACCATTCTTTGCTTCTAGTTAGTATTGTTGAAAATTTTTCGCAAGAAATTTCTTGGCGATGTACATAGGTCAACAGCACTTGGATTTTTTTTAAAGGTTTATTCTTAAACACAGGAAATTGTCGAAGCCATCTCGTCCAAGCAACCATAACATTCGCCGTCTCTAGCAAAAAATAAACGTAAATTATGAAATATATCGAATAAAATTAAATATAAAAATGTGAAATATGTGAAAAATTATGAAATTTGTGAAAAAAATATATATTAATGTAATGTGATAAGAAATAGAAAAAAATTTTCTTCATGCGAGATAAATTGGAAACATGAAAATACAGTTATCAAAAAAATTTTGCCATAAACGATAATCATGCAATACATGACAAATGACAAATAAGAACTGTTCAGAAACGCACTTAAAAAAATATTACAGTTGAATAAGATATAATATTCAGTCTTGAAGTGTATTAATAAATGGTACTTTTCTTCTTTTTCTTTTAAAAACCATTTCTTATTTTGTTGATTCCATTGGCTATTGGTTGTACGAAACTTTTTCGGTAAATGCCATCCGTACTTATTTCACACATATAAAAGGATAATGGTAACCATGTGGATAATGATTCAGATTGTCGTACTGGGAGGCAATGGCCTTAGAAGGGAGCAAATTTGTCTTTCCAATAGTACTAATGGCCCACTTATATTTCTATCGCTGTGACTCGCTACCAAAAAATTCCTTTTTGTCAAATTTCTTTTCATTGTAACAGCTAATGGAATAAGTATAACTAAAAATAATAAATGTTAACCACTATCAGCGTGGAGAAACGATAAAATAGGATGAAATAGGATGAAAATCAAGGATTTTGAATCAAATAATAAATGTTCTTTCATTGTATATTTTTTATAATGCAAAAAAAATTTTATGTATTATGAAATTTGTTTCATTTATTATTCGCCATTTGTCCAATACTTTTTATTTTAACTTTAATGCAGCACATTTAAATAGATTATGATTTGTATTTATCAAAGAATTTTTCGATAACAACTGAATATTAATTGTATATTGTAGATATTTGATTGTATCAAACACAGATGTCCTTCTTTATCGAAATAAATTGCGTTGGCAAACTTGTTGTTTGGCTAGTGGTTCACAGATCAAATAAAGCGCAATAATGAAATGTTTTCATTTTTACTATATGCAATTTGTAAAAATATTTTTATATTTGTAAATTATAATTTATAAAATGTTGGACACTATAAACGAATAATGTACATCACTTAGATCATCACTTCAAACATCACAGTTTGACTGGTACTTTTTGCAAGAGTAAACCACCATTAGAAAATTCGCGCGGTACTTATTTATATCTTTAATTGAAGCTCTGGAAAAAATTTGTTCATCACTCAGTGGAGTGGGCTTAACCAGAAATAATAACTAATCCATTAAATATTAATTATATTTCGTAAAAATTATGTTAATTGCAAGAATATGACTTTTATAAAGCGCAGTTGGTTGAAAACGGCTGATCGAAGATTGAAATTTGAAAAATTTAAAATCTATTTTTAATGTTTTCTATTCACCATTATGGTGAATGATTGGTCGAATAAAAAAATTTCAGAGACTATTTAAACGAATTATCTCATTGTTTTGACGAATTCAGTGCACTTTAGTCCTCTTGAACAACTGACTTCATTTCTTGCATCTTAACAGCAATAAACTCATCGGATTATTTTTCTTCAAAGTGTTTTCTGACTCACAATTCTCTCGCAATTTTCTTTTTATTTTAAGAAATGTAAAATTTTCAAAATTTTTACATTTTTGCTATTACTGCAAGATAAAGTTTTAATTAAAGTTTATGGTAGGCTCAACAAATAGTAAATAGGCAATAGGCATTTTGCCAGATCTAAATAGAACTAATGAGAAAAATGAAGGGAAAATAGGACTTAATAGCGGCATATTCGAGTGAGGTTTCCGTCTCGCTAGTAAAATGAAGTTAAAATCCGTATGTTGCTCGAATTTATACTTTTATTTTTAAATAAAAGAATCTTATCGAATCTTATCTTTTTCTTATCAAGACCAGCAAATCAGAAATAATATCTTTAAGAAAAAGTAATCAAATTAAATCATAGTTATTACTGTTACTTATGGTTATAATTATTATTATTATGCTAATTTATTATTATTAATTATTATTGATATTTATCATTATTTGCTGCATTATTCGTTTTTATTATTATTTATTAGTATTAATTATTATTATTACTGTATTTGTTTGTTTTATTATTTTTTATCATTTATTGTCTTTAATTATATAGGCAATTCTGGTTTCTTAAATGTTTTTTGTTCTGATTTCTTGTTCTGAAATATTTTTTTCCTCTTACTTTCTTTTTTTTTCTTTTGATAAGGGTTTCATTCAATATAGCTAATTATTAATTATTAATTTATTAATTATTTATGTCGTCCACTGTTCATTATTTAAATTCCAATGTGTCTTGCAGATAAGTTTTTACAAAATGTTCATCGAGTGGTTAATAATAAATATGTTGATTCCACTGGCGTTTGGAGCAATCGGAGGACTTGTCGGACGAACACAAAGTACTGCTGTTCAAGGCACATTAACATGTAATGGCAGACCACTAAAAAATGTACTCGTGAAACTCTATGACAATGATCGAGGTATTATTAGCTTGGTTATCACGGAAGACAATAACATAGCGAAAGAACTAATTTGAAAAAAATTATGAGAGCATTTTCTTCAGAAGGAAAATCTTGAAAATCTCTGGAAAAAGTTTATAAAAAAATGGTTCATTGCCAGAGTTTATATGTTCCGAGAAAACTATGGAAATGAATTTTGGTAAGAATTGTTTTCTGAACAGTTTTTTTGAGTATAAGTCGCTTATTTAAAGGCATTGGTTTTGATGATTTTATGGGTGAAACAACAAGCGATGAAAAAGGCTTTTTTTATGTAAGCGGTAGTAATGCTGAAATATCGGACATTGATCCCAAATTTAATATTTACCATGATTGCAATGATTGGTATTGGGTGAGTGATTATCTCACATTATTAGGATTGCTTAGAATGAGCTAAAAGGATTATTCCTGAATTTCCTTCTCCATTCCTTTACGGCGAAAAAGCATTGGCCTTAAATTATTCCATTTTACCGTTTAGTTACATTTTTAATAATTTTGAATAAAGTTTCTATCATTATTTCCAAGTTCCTTTTAACTCGATCGCAATGATTATTAGCCTTTGCAAAATATATTTCGTTAGCCTTGAAACGAACTAGAATTTCGTTTCGTTTCAGCCATGCCAGCGTAAAATCAGTATAATGATTCCGGACGACTATATTACTGTCGGGGATGTTCCAAAAAAGACCTATAACAGTGGAATTATTGAATTGGCTGGAGAATTTTCTGGAGAAACTCGAGATTGCATTCACTAAACATTCATCCAAACAATGATATTCGATTGATAAAAAAAATCAAGCGATAAACAATTTTTTTCTTAGCAATTTAGTAAAGTCAAATGCAATGCTTATTAAAGCCTATTTTTAAAAAATTTTCTTGAGACAAATCACCTTTCTCCCTATTTACAAGTTGATTTGCATTTTTTTGTATTATTTTAATTTCTCTTCTCCAAATGCTATTAAAAAATCAATTCTACCTCAAAACGATTTGGGGGCAACGTTGCAATAAATCACAGCAATAAATTATTAATAAGGCTTCAAGACAAAAATTTATCCACTAAAAAATTTGCTGGTGGACATTTTGTGGGATTACATAACGTAATTCTCCTGACATTGTAAGTCATAAATGATTCAGCATTGGAAATTTTTAATTTTATTACTTTAATATTTTAATTTTAGGGAGTAAATTGTAGTGAATCACCAAAGCTATTCAAATTCTAACTGAACAATCATCACAATGCTTTAAAATTAAATATTTCTCTAATTCCATATGTAAGCGTTCACGGACCGCATAAGTCCAATTTTCTTTTTAATTTTTTCTAATTTCTTATAGCTCTTATCATTGCTGGATAGAGTCGCTCCGATGGCTTGTCAGGCTAGGCAAATGTCTGAAAGATCTTTAACAGCTTGTTATAATGAAAAAAAAAGGTAAATGAAGGAAAGTAGAATGAAATCTTTTACGAAATTTACGACAATTTGGCCGAACTGCTTGGAGATAAAAGAAAATGAGAGAATCTAATACGGCTGGATTTATTGATAGATTAATTCCTTTTAGGGGACTTTGAACCAGGATAATTCAAATGATAATCTAGATTTATGAAATGAAAACGATTGAAAAAATTTTTTTGTTGGTTTGATAACAGAATAATTCAATTGCATTTAACTGCTTGTGCACTGCAAACTATTCCATAATAAATTCTGGCCTCGGCCCAATCTATCAAACTTCATGCTAGATTTTTTGTTGCTTTCGACTGCGACCAGGCATTACTGGATTGCTCTCCCTTTGGAGCAAACTGAACATCGAAAGTAAAATCGGAAGAAGGTCCATCTATTACAGTTGTCCTCAAGGTAATATCTGGCGAAAAGATCTCTCGTTATTCGTGAGTGAAGTAAATCCGAAATGAGAACAAGTAAAATGGAGTGCAGGATGGTGTTTTAGGAATTAATGGGATCGTAACCCATTTCGGACCCAAGAGTGGATTTAAGATATTTAAATTGAGTTTCCTCAACCGGCAATGAATTAATAATACGTATTTTATCTTATATATAAGACGAAAATACTTTCGTTTTATTTACATTGATTTTAAATCCAATTTTCGCTGCAGTTGTTGAAACATTTGCATTTCGTCATAACTGTCAGCAAAAAAAACTGCATCATCAGCATATTCAAGATATGTGGTGCAGTATTCTGGATTAACTTGCGTTTTGAATGTAGACAAGTGATGTCCATTATCCATTCTATCATATAATTAAATATGGTAGAGGTAAAGGAGTAGCCATGGCAGACACCAGATCTGTCAATTCCCCATATCCATTAGTTTGTGTCAAAGTATGCTTATAAAATTGCTATTTTGGCCATTCAATTGAAAGATTATCATTATCATATTAATTATATAAAGTTATTTTGATTTATCATCGATTTTAAAATTTTAGATTTAATCAAAAGTCCGGTCAAAATGGCAGGAAACAACACCTTATATATACCTTTCCCTGAATTATTGGCGACTTTTCGCTTATTATCATCCAATATTTACATTTAGGGCTATGGTGGCTGATTGGCGTGGTTGCTTCGATATGTGGTGAGCATTAAGGGGTTCGATCCACTTTAACAATAGTAAACCTGTCGAAAGACTCAGGTGGTGCTGGATGTCCACCAAACCACGAGTGAATCTGGTGAAAGTTTCTAACAGGATGAACAACTAGAAATGGTAATTTCTAACTTAGTTCTTCTTATAACTGTTCAATCATTGCATGTTTGTACTAGCGACTAGGGTAAGGCGTATTCAAGCTACGGATAGGAAATAAAATAAGCAAAAAGCCTTTAAAAAAAAAACCATTCCTAAAAGTAACTGAAGCCTCTTACCTTTTCACCGTCTAAGTATATTGCTGGGCCATTTGTACGTTCAGTCAATCCAGGTTTGACTCATGATTCTCGCTTTTGAAATCACAGATTTCAGAATGTAACGAGTTATGCGTTAATTTCTCTTGGTGCACAGCAAGGAAGATGGTTAAATCAGCGCTGATGACATTCTTAACTCAGGTGATATTCCAGCGAAGGTTGCAATCATCTGAGACTCTAATCATTTGTAACGTATATGCCTTATGCAAAAATGTCAAACAAGCTTTCGGATATCTTCCAATGTCATTAGCTAAATTTCGCCGTCGTATGCGTGCTATGGCCAAATAGATGAGAAACTTTTGTTTTATGGCTAATTCCACAGCAGTTCAGAGATTTCAGAGATGAGATTTCGAAAGAAAGCTCATCTGAAGCCATCTAGTTGGAATTTCATCTTTCATTTAGCCATTAGGTACGAGTGAGTGAGGTATTTAAAGTCTGACAATTCCCGACTATTGATAAACATATAAATTATAAGAGCGTGGGATATAAAACGAAGAATCTTTCGTCTTACTCGCATTGATTTAAAGCTCATTTTTTGATAGGCGCTAACCATTTGTTTATTTTCTTGATTAAAAGAGCGATTGTTTTTGCTTAATATTTCCAATTTTTTGGGACAAGTTTCTTTATCGATATTTCATATTCTGTAAGAAAAATTATATTCCATCTTTGATTTTATTTATTAATGATGATCGTGAAATAAACACTTTATGTCAGAAAATTCTCGTCAAATTACACTGTCATATCATCACAAAGACGACAAGAATTATGTAAAAATATTAAGAGACCTTAAGTGGAAAAAGATTAGTAAAAATGAAAAAATTGGGAAAATACAAAAAATCTTTTGAAGGTAGAAAGGTTCATTTTTTGAAGGTCCATTTAATGAAGACAATCACGTTCCTCGCCGGGCATTTTTCCAGCAAGTTCCATTCGTCCAACATCATAAATCCGTCTTGGTATATCACCGTTTGTAACGTATGAATCCGGCAATTTAATACTGAATTTCCTTTGACATGGCTGTAATCAAAAAGGTTATCTTCTAATTGGAAATTCCAGCGAAAGCTGACCGAATGGTACATTTCTTTGTTTCATGGTGAGAACAATGGGCTCGATTACTTATATACTAATGGAACAAATCTTACGATTAAATCCTGCGCGTGGGATTTATCTGTGCGCTAATACTTAAGTGAAGCGAAAATATCTTAATTTAGCAGTGGAGCGGGACAGGACTGGTATTTTCCATCGTTAATTCAATCGCGATTAATTTTTGTTTATTCGAAATTTAATTTATCCATTCTTTATCCATAAATAACTGTGCCATTTAAATTTCTAAGCAATTATCGAAACTATTCAATTAGCGTTAAATAAAAAAATTTACCAAATTCTCTACAAAATCTTACCTTCCACCCATCGTTACAATCATGATAAACATTAAGTTTCGGATCGATTGTAGATATTTCCCTTATTTTACCGACAACACGAAAATAACCATTTCTGTCTGTTTTCGTCTCACCCATAAGATCATCAGTACTAAGCACTACAAAATTTATTAAATATTGAATATTCTAATTTATCAGCTGGATTGATAAAAGATGATGCAGAGTGAAATTTCATATGCATAACATATCAACTGCACATGTAGAAGATTTAAATACTGTATATTATAAAGTTGTGCAGAAATTTCATGTCTTTAAGATATTTAGATATTGATGTACACACCTAAAAGACATGAAATCTCTAATTTGAATCTGCTGTTGAATTACAAAAGTAGAATTTTTAAAAATAACTGCAGAAAAGCATTATTAATGTAATGTTGAATTCAAGAAACCTGGAAAAGAAAATTGCATTTAATTATGAATAGCCAAGAAAACTTACATCTATCCTGATCATATAATTTCACGAGGACATTTGCTTCAGGTCTGCCATTGCAAACGAATGTACCATTCGCTCCGGCGCTTTGCATCGTGCCAATAAGACCACCAATTGCTCCAGACACATGAGCAACCAATGTTAATAATATGAGGCAATAAAACATTTTATGCCGGTCCTGAAATTATACGACATAATAAATCCTCATCGCATATATGTGACGAGTGTTGACATAATAACGATCAGTGGAAATAACAAAATAATCCAACTAGATTGAGAAAAACCTCATCTTCGTGCACGAGGAGAGGAGGTGATGCAGCAGTAAATATAAGATATTTGCCCTTTCAATCGATGTTATTGACAAAAATTTCATTCGATTCATGAAATGACAAAAAAAGTGGGAATTTAAGGAGAAAAAGGCAAATATGTTTGTAGGAAGATATTCCGATCGTAATAAATTGATCCGTCAATGCTCCCGGTGATGCTGGCGACTCACTTGTATTTCTATCGTCAAGGGACTCCCTGGCATATTGCTCAGTGCGACAAACCAGTGGAGCGAGTTTAACCGGTAATGGTGAGGACCCTTAAGAAAGGCAAAGATCAGTCAATGCTACATGAAAGGCAATAGAATGGAAGAAAAGGAATGTTTTAAAAGATTTTAAAAAATTTTCAAAAAGACAATTCAAAAAGATGTTTTCATCGAAATTGTGAAACTAATAATATTTCTTACGATCAATAATTATCGAACAAATTTTTTAAAATATTTATTATTTTTCATTTTTTTGCTTTTTTTGTAGATAATGCGCTAGCATGAATTGCTTTTATGCAAATTTAACTTTTTTTTTTAAAGGATCCTCACCATTACTGGTTAAACTCGCTTCACTGGCTTGTCGCATTGGGCAATATGCAGGGAGCCATTGGCAATAGAAATACAGGTGAGTCGCCAGCATCACCTGGATTTTCATACATGTTCACTCCTATGGGGAATGCAATTTAACATCATGAAAGGTCAATTAAAATTTAAATTCGTTCAGATAGTTTTTTCCTTTTTTGCTGATATGAAGTAGAACCAGTTAAAATATTCATTTATCAAAATTGCATGGCCAAGTGGTGTAGATTATAGGTTCAAGCAAGCAACTTGGTTCGATCTTTGCATCCTGGTGGGTGTAGATTCATATCCCATTCAGCCTCGCAAACACATTTTAAACACTTGATCATCAAAAATTTCCACGATTTTACCTAATTTATTTACTTATATTTAAAAAAATGTTTCCTCTTTTCATTTCATTTTGATAAATTCAATTTTTATAAATGCTTACATTTTCGTAAACCATTAATTAATTAACTTCAATCTCATAGCCCTACAACAAAATTCAACAATTAAATAGATCTTGCATTAAGGCAATAAATTTTACGAATATTTATTTCAACGTGCAAGTAAACTTCACGATACAAACAAAATACAAAGAAAACAAGGCTAAAAAGTCTTTCTTCCGAACTTTCGAAAAAGAAAATCTCACATCTAATATATGGGCGAGGTCGACCAAGCGATGCCTGTTGCCAAGCGATTGCTGCAAAAAATTTTCAAAAAGGGGACAAACAGCCAGCGGAATAAGCCAAATTAGAAATAGTGAGCAAAAATGGCGAACTTATTTCAAACATTTTTTATAAAATATAATTTAAGGAAAAATTTTAATTAAAAAGCGATAAATTTCAAGTTGAAAATGAGCGATAAACAATTTAATAAATGTAATAAGTGAAAAAAATTAATATTGCATAGCAAATAAAGTTTTTCGACATTTTTCAATGTTAAATAATTTTCATATAGAATTTTTACCAACAGCAACAAAAACAACGAACGACAATGACTACATTTCTTCATAAACCTATGAGATTCGCAAATAACGTTTCGCTAATTTTTAGTTAATTAATTTTCGCTAATATCAGCTGACGCCACAAACCCTCATTTTGCTGGTAAATCTCTTCTTCAAAATCTTAACGTGATCTTGAAAAAAACAGTCAACGAAAGGGCGATATCTATCTGTATTATAATTCGTATCACAAATAAATAATAAAATTATATGAAATTATGAAGTATTAATAATAAAGGAGACAATATATTGAAATAAATTGTATTGAATTGTATTTTATTGAAATATAATGCAATTTAAATAATTTCATATTTAAATTTTTTAAAATTTTTAAAATTTATATTAATTTAATAGAAAAATTTAATAATTTATTCCAATAATTAATGATGCAAATAAAAAAACTGTTGATTTAACTTTTCTGATAAATTCAAGTGATTCTATTAGTTTGATTAACCTAAAATTTAGCCCAAAATCATAATTGCCGCAATTTGAACACTTTTTTTAAAAAAGTTCTCACCATTGCTGGTTAAACTCGCTCCATTGGCTTGTTGCACTGGGCAATATGCCATGGAGTCCCTTTGCTATAGAAATACAGATGAGTCACCAGCATCACTCGGATTTACATATAGTTTATTTTCCTGAGGAGAATCAAACCTCAACATCGGCGCTCCAAGCTGGGCAACAACCCACTGAGCCATTCTATCCTCCTAATTAGAATATTACCAAAGAATATTTTATAATCAATTTTTATATTAGTATCTTATTAATAACACTGATTTTTCGTTATAGTCTTATTAGTTTTCAAGGATTCTAAAATTAGATTTGCATATCTGTAATTTTGACTCATACCTAATAAGTAAATTTGGATTTGAACAATGCAAAGTATTTGATTTTGAATACCTATAAAAACGGCAAAAAATATTTATTCGCAGTTTATCCAAACAAATGTCTTATAGAATCCATCGGGAAAAGTTTCAGATTTATTTCTGAAAATTCGTACAATAAGTCAAATGCTTTAGAAGATAAAGATCTATTATCTTCCTTAGTTACTTGAATCCATCATCAGCTAACAGGACGTACTGCGACAATTACCAAGGAATCAACCAATTAGACATCTCTGGAAAAATTTTCGCTCTCTTTCTGTTAAATAGACTGATAGCAACACAAGACAGTAAAATGTGCTTTAAAAAAACTGGATTAAGACCGGAATGCGATTGTACTGACCAGATATTTACGCTAAGAAAAGTGCTGGAACATCGCTTCAAATACCAGCAATCCACCTGCTTTATCTTTAACGTCACTTGCTTTATCGATTTTGTAGCTGCCTTCGATTCGCTTCATACAGCAGTGCCCTGGAAAATGATGGAATGCAACGGGGTTCTAGAGATCATTCTGCTCATAAAGGCATTTTATGAGCCTACGTCGGCGCAATTCCGTGTATATGGTGAACTGATTTCTCCGAAATAAAAACTGGTGTCGTCAAGGCTGGTGTTATGCACTTTCCCCTAGAATATTCAACTATGTGATAGACTGGGTAATGGACACCGCTTGTCGGCACTCAAAAGGTGCAAATTAGTCATAATATTACAGAGCATTGTATTGCAGACTTTCAATATGCTGATGACGTAATCCTTTTTGCTAACAGTTATAAGGAAACGCAAATAATGTTAAACAATGTCAGCGAGAATTTGACTCAGAATCAATGTGAATAAACCGAAAGTTTCATCTATATACAAGAAATGCAAAAAGCTTATAAAATACCTATTTTGATCAATTCATTACCGATTTAGCTATTCATTATTCGACTTTAAATACCTTTGATCCACTCTAATCCCAAATTGAAGGCAAAGGAATAAAATTGCAACTGATAAATACAGCTAGTAATATGTTTGCTCGTTTGACGAAACCTTTATGAAGGCGCTGCGAAATCACCATAAAGACGAAAATCCGGGTCCACATGACGCATATTTCGCTACTTGCCAAACTTTGTGATGGTTAAAAGCGAGGATGACCAACCAATACCCCGACAGATATGTGGACTTAGACCATGGAAAAATGAATGGCATCTATCGTGACTAGCGATGGTATCAGTGATATTCTAGCATGGTGGAGGAGTCATAACCCTGTAGCCAGAATTAGCCTAGGCAGCAATGGCGAGAGCTAAAAGAAGATTATCAGTTAAATGAATGATAACCTCTTTCTAATAAGAAAAGTTGTGCTTGGCGCGAAAACTACAGATTAACTATTTGTGTAAGTTTAGAATGCCAATTATCAAACATCTTTTGAGATCTTTCAACGGATTTTTCAGTGAAACTACTGAAAAAATTAATATAAAAAACGATAAAAACTTTTATTTCAAACCAATTTAAAAATTAGTTCAACAACAAATGCAAAAATTAAAATTAAAACAGCATGATAGATTTGAAAAAGCAAAAACATGTTAATGCTTTTGCGTAAAACATCTAATATGAATTACAATTTCTTGTAGTGAATATTCAGATGCAAAAAACATAAATTAAAATACAAGCTTTTGTAGCAATAATACTATGGAAGTATTTATGAAAAGCGTTCTATGTATAAGAAACAAGGAAAACATTTCTGGCAGTTCATAATCTATTACTCATAAAAAATGGAGCGCTACAACCGAAAACATTACCACAGTGGAAATTGATATCGGTGCAAAATTAATTAAAACCTTTCGGCAGCAAATCATAGGAACGAATGATGAATTTTTAATCATAAAAAACATTAAATGAGCATTTAAAAATCTTTGAAAAATTGAAAATCGGCAAAAAATGGAAAAATTAAAAATCCAGCTGAACAAAACTGTATTCGAAGGAGATTAAAAAAAAATGCGCAAGATGTAATTCCAAAAAAACTCATTAAAATTCCCTACTTTTCAATTTTTTGCTGAATAAAATTACAATTAAAATAGATAATAAAATTAAAATAGAACCCATGAATTTTGAATTTTCCTAAGGTTTAGATTATCATGGCGAACTTGATAAATGTTTAAATTTACATGAATAAAATGAAAAATTTTGCCAGGAAAATTTAACAACAAATAAAGATTTTCATAATAAAAGAAGTTAACGTTATTTCCATAAAAGGAAACAGGAAACACCACATCCAAGTCGATTGAAGATGTACAGGTGAGTCATCACCACTATTTCCTAATGACAAATTACAATAAACCGACAATCCTCTTATCAAGATTATACAATAATTACCCAAACTCCTTAACGACCAAAAAAGACTGAATATTAGATTTATATAGCTTTAAAAAATATAGTTTTATCCTTTTACATGAAAACTTCAAAAAATATGCAGGAAAATCCGACTTCGCAAAAACAGAGAGACCAGGCTGCGAGACCGCTCAGCACAAACAATTTTTTAAAAAATGGTAGAAATATATGAAAATGGAAAGTTTTACCAATTAACCGATAGAATGAATATTTGTAATTAATCCATTTTAATGATGTCTGCGTCGATCTCTACCTTGATCCGTGCGATCACGATACCCACTATCTCTTCCACGATATCCATCACGATCACCACCATAGCCACTACTGTTCCGTACATCATGAGGACGTCGATCTTCATGCCTAAAAGGAGGAAGATTTCCTGGTGAGTAAGGGCGCTCACCATTTTTAATTAGTTTATCGGAGAGATCATATTTAATTATTTAATTATAATTTAATTATAATTTTTATTTAATTATAATTGTAGTAATATTTAATTATAATTATTAAAATACAAAAATCTTCATCCGAAAACAATGAGATGTAAAAAAGAAGGTAATCCAAGAATTTCCATTTTTCAACCACACCACCACAATAGCCGATATCAATCAAGGATTCCAGCCTTTCCAGACGGAAGTAAACCAGTCATTAAAAAAAAACCCGAATGGTGCTGATGACCCAATCTACCCTATTCTTTGCACCAACTGACTTTCTGACGAACGAGCATTATCCTAATAGCCACTGGAGTCAGCGAAACAAGAAATGGTAGATGTTCTAAGTAGAAGACTGAAATAAAGAGAAATATTCTCTAGAATCCTTAACATAATACCTTCTCGACTCTCGTTCTCTTTCTCGGCTACGACTTCGACGACGGTTAGAGCTTGACCCATTGCGATCACTTCGATCACGGTCCCTTGAATGAGAATGAGTTGACCTCGAAGCATGATCTCTATCTTCAGAAAGTTGTTCCAAAGCAGCTGCTTCTAACACTGCTTTCGATTCACGAGTTTTACGAGTATCACCTTTCCCTCCTCCTAAAACAAAATAATAAGAAAATCTTGAATTAACTTCAAAAATAATCAGCATTAAAAAACTACAAAAAATTACTACCAAGTCTTCTTGGCAACCAAGATTTTTGGGTACGACCACGTTCGTAATCAACAACAACTCGACGGCCATCAATCTTCATACCATCTGCTTTTTTATATGCATCTGTAAAATCATATATCACCCTACAAATATAAAATGCAGTTTGTCAAAGTATACGATCAGATAATGGATTTCCTGAAATAAATGCCAAGCTAAAAACATTATCTAAAGTAAAGCTCTCAAGCTATTGTCAGATTCTTGATTACAGTATAAAATTAAAAAAAAAAATGAAGGTATTGCTAAATACCAATCATATGGCTTTAAATTTATATAAAGCCTCTTAAGCACAGGCTATTCTGCACAATAAATCTTAACTCCAGCTTCAAATTGCTTCTATTATGCTATAAGAAACGAAGGAAAGATGACCTACGCTGATTGAATTCCTCTCCATGAAAGATCGCCATTGTTGGGCAGTTCTTTGGATAAAACTCACCCGATAAACTTACAATGGGAAAAATTGAAAAAAAAATTAATTTCAAAATCATCCTTAGAGCAAAAAGATCGATCTAAACTTATTTTTCTTTTAGTGAAAAATTGAAAGAAAATATCTACAAAAATAGTGAAAAACTCATTCAATATGATCTATTCATTGAAAAAACCATTAATCATCAAACTCCTAATTTTATGTGATAACCTTACCGCACTCAAACAAACCTATGCCAAAAGTGCTGTTCGTTATTGATCTTCTCATTTTCACAGGCTTACCCGTTCTGTGCGGTGCTTCAAACTTTTATTATAATAAAACTTGAAAAACCGTCAATCCCAAATTTTTTATTTATCTATTCGACGATGACCATGTTTCTTACTAACAAAAATCGGATCATTCGCAAACCAATCTATGAATTTTGAAATCAAAAAATGCACCCGCACAGTGATATAAACAAACCAATAATAGGTGTGCATCAAGAGACAGGCACGGCCATTAATAGCGAATGCTGCTCTTCTGCAAATAAAAATGGTGAAAATTAGAAATTTTTGGCCACAAAAAAAATGAAATTTTCACCTCCAAAATAATATAATCTATTGTATTTCGCACTTTTTATAGACGATTACTGAAGGTATTATTCGACCAATTTTAATTTCTCGACCTATTAAATTTATGGAAAAATAATGAAAATATGAAATTTTCAAAAAAAATTCAAACGAAGTGGAAGATCGAAAATTTTCAGAGTAAAATAACGTCTTATGTTTATTTTCTTTTCCAATCAAAATATCGGCTTAAAAATCCTTAAAAAAACAACGGACAATTTGCATTTAACTGCAGAGCATTTATTCGGATTTGAAAAAAACGATCCAACGAACAAAAGACTATGGAGACCGATAAGTTAGAGGATTCTAAACGTGCATCGAAAAAAAGCCACAAGATGCCACAAAAGCCGTTTCTGGAAAGATGCGGCTCTGGACACGGAGATACTGGATACTGTTCCAGCATGGTTTTTTGTGAAACAGTAAGTGAAAGAAAGATCAATGAAATCAGAGAAAGTATAAGGCTTTCATATACTGCATTCTTAGGAATATAAACTACGATCTTACCATGTCTCGAACATAACGTCATATTAAAACTATGAAGCCAAACACGGCATAAAATAAAAAAACTTATCTAAGGATTGATAATGATCGTTGGCCAAGGACTCCAGGCTAGAAAAATTGCCCTAGAAGGCAACTTCAAGCATCGGCTCTTTAAATTCTTTTGCAATCATCTTCAATAATTACAATATATTCCTTGGTATGAATTAAAAAATTACATGAGAGTAAGGCAAAATAATTTTATTCGTATTTTTTATAAAAAGTGAATGATGAGGAACTATATTAGTAATCGAGAAACCGATCTGTTATTAAATGAATAATATAGATCTCTCATTTGTTTATGTAATTCATGTAACATTCCAGAACATTCTCTCATTTACAAAATATAGACAAGAAGTTTGATGAATTTCAACCAGCAATTTACCAAAGTACCAAAAGTTTCTTCTGCTTAACTAAACCATAAAGGAGTCATGAAATTAGCATGCAAACGAAAGAATGCATCTGGCTGTGGTACTTATAAAGCGATAATGAAATATGGCCGATGAAAGTAAAACCTATCAAAAACTAATTTGACCAATCTTGTCTAAGTGAATTCTATGTAGAGAGGATGAAATCCCACATGACTGCACCTACCCTTGTTGGAATCACTAATACCAGTATTAATCGTATCATTGCTTGCGCTACCATGTTCTTTACATCCTATTACTGCACCAAAAGTTAACGTTCAATCGCAACATAGAACGACATACTCAGACAAGATTTTCGACTCAATTACATAAGAGACAAGATGATGAGAAAGATGTGGCTTCCATTATCGAATAAGAGGCTTCAAAATGCCTCTCCACTGAAATCTGTGAAACTAATAGTGAATTTATCATATGCATAAGAATTTTATGAAATTTCCATAAATTTATCATTCATTTTGATATTTTGATAACTGTGCAGAAAATACGAGTAAAAAGCCAAATAAATTAGAAATTCAAAAAAATATTACAAATAACTCTTCCACTTATTTTACTAATTTTCTCCAATGGAATGATTAAAAACCACTAATAAACCTCTCCTATATTTCTATAATGAAGAATTTATTAATTTAAAAAATTCATTCAATAAATATAAAACGATTATTAAAAAAATTTATTCTAACTTCAACGAGATTTAATTTAATAAATAATTTTCTATGTAATTTTTTTTAAAATATATATAATAAATATATAAAAATAAATATTATATCCATAATGTAACGCTAGATATGCGCTAAAACTAAATGAGGAAGATATAAGCCGAAGATATAAGTTTTCCCCTTAAAAAAAATGAAGATATAAGCCGAATAAAATTTGAACAATTTTTTAATAGACTCATTCCTTATCACATTTCCCACTCAGTTTAAAAATTAGTTTCCTCTTGTAAAGGAAAATTCCTAAACAGCCCTGGAACTTAGTCTATACGTTCAATAAATGACCTTTTTCGATTTCAGCTAATTAATCAATAGGAAAATGTTTTATAAAAAGATAAGCAGTGCCGAAAATCGATACCAAAAAAAAATCATGTTATGTCATATGAAATCAAAAAGACTGGAATAAAAAATGCCATCGAACTTACCACACATAATAGCAAAAAAAAATAAAAAAACAAAAAATTTTGCTTACCTGACATAGATTCTTTATGTTGATACTCGATGAATGCATATCCCCTAGGTTTGCCATTTTTGTTGTGAACCAATATTAACTGAAATTTTTCAGTATAACTATAACTATAATCCACAGTAACCCTGCACACATTTAATTTGTTAAAGATAAGATTTTATATCGAAAAATTCAGTGATACTGATGAATAACTAATGAAAATTAAAAAAGCAAATAAAAATAAATAGCATATTAACCTTCTGAATTTTTCCGAACTGTTCAAATTCTCTCCTCAATTTTGATTCAGAAGTTTCGTAATTCTGAAAAAATTGAAGTTCTAGAGTTTGTGATAAGGGAACTGAATGATGCAATCATCGTCTTGAAAACCTTTATTTGAATTTTAAATTCTAAATTGAATTATACATACAATTCGTGCAATAAAAAGAGTTTTGTAAGGATCGGAAGTTGCGTGGGTATTTTCTGTTGGGTTCCCTGAAATAAAAATGTAAAAAGAACCTGGAAGTGCTAAATTATATGGCAATATTATTATTTATTTATTTCTAATATTATTAATATTAATAATATTATTTATTTCTAACAGTAACTCTTATCAGTTCGAGAAATGCTAGTATTTCACAAATAATTTATTGCCCTTTTTGTAACTCGCCAAAACTTCACGAACTAATTAAGATGAACATATTTTCCATAAATTTTGAACTTTGACTAGACCTTTTATCTCATTCTATTTAAAATCTGTTAAATTATGAAAAAAACAAAATACTGATTTCAAAATACTTCTTTAAATAGGAAATAAAAATAAAAACTAATAGGATTGCATCAAATAGAATTTCAAAATGCAAAATGACTAATGACAAGAAACTAACACGTAGCAATTCCTTGTTCAATTTTATAAGCAAGTAATTCCTCCTTCTCCTTGCGCTGCAACAATTGAATTTTAAAAGATTAATGAAAATAAGAACCATCCACCAAGAATCCACGCATATATTTTCAATACTTATCAAAAAAATAAACAGTATTTAGCAAAAGAAATTAAAAAAATTAAAGAATTTTAGTAAAATTATACCCTTCTAGCTCGACGTTCTTCTTTGGTTTCAAAAATCGGTTTTGGCGGTGTATCTTTGAAGTCCTATTTTAAAAAAGTATAAATTTAAAAATGTAAAGTAAATAAAATGAAGAAATGTAATAGCAAAAATGAAAAAAAATTTATTTATATTTTTTCACAATTCATCCGAGATGAATGTTTATCAAAATTAAATATTTCTAAATAAGAAAACGATCTACCACTTTTCGGTTGAATGAAAAGAAATGCTCCACATTTGCTGCTAATGAAAAAATTAAATCCATGGGAATGGCTAAATGAATAAAGGAATAATATTATAGAATGTAGGAAGGATAAAAGAAAGTACCGAAATATGTGCTTTTTCAAACTAATTAAATAAAATATTAATGATATAATTTTTGTTCTGCCTTCGATTGATTTCAACAATAAATTTAATAATATAAAATTCATCCCAAAGTAATAGTATATTATTATTTTGGTCCACGTTTTACTTGGTTTCCTACCAATGCCTCATTATTATCAAGCAAATGGATTTCTCCTGTTTAATCAACATTTTTTTTTGTTTCTTGCCTTATATACATACTATATAATTGCTCTTTTGTTTTTTATTTTAAATTTATGATAAATTTTGCCAGTTTGATTATCCTATCTATCTTAAATAAATGGATAATGAATAAATGAAAATAATTAATGAGAAAACAGTGAGAAAATCCATGTTCCTACATGCATATATGCATCAAAGAACAGAAAAAATGAAACATGATCTCCTATCCGGCTTTGACCATAGAATCAATGAGTACCGATGAAATTTCGCCAAATGGCGAATACGAAAACTATAATAAGCTCGCAAATGGGAAATAGTATTCAAAATCGGAGTTAAAAATTATCATCGATGACTAATTAAGCGTTAATAAGACTTTGAAAATCATCTGAGTTTCTATTGGCAAGACTGGGATTCAAGTAATAAAAAAACAACGACACTGATTATTGACATATAAGTGGCAGCTGGGAATAGCGCTAATATAAAAGAAAAAGAACTACTCGAGGAAAGAGGATAAGGCCCTATGGATGAAGCCTGGCTAGACGACAAGACAGGCCCAGTTTTTGCATTTGCCGTTCGGTAGCAATCGTTATCCACCTATTGCAAATAAAAACGTTTGAAATAATTAAATTAATATTTTTAACATACTTCAAAAAGGTGTACATATTGCCCAACACCGGTCATTTTTGGTCGTTTTCGATCGATAAGTAATTCATCGGGAGGTGGTTTATAAGGTAAAGGTGGTCGAGCTTCGAAAAGTGCCAAAAGATTATCAGGCAAATACTGAGTCATTCTAAAAAAATTGAATTTTTTAAATATAAATAAATTAATTATGAATTTGAAAAACAAATCACTGAAAAAGTTGAAAACATAATGGCAGAGATAGCAAGGAAATACAAATATTATTTAAAGCTATTTATAACTTCTATTTCTACTGCATTTCGCAGTATAACCGAGTGATATTTGGTTAAGACGACTCAATCAATCATAATGGATCAGATTCCTTATTAGCTTCTTAGCAAAAGCAAATCGTTAAAAGTGAAGTCAAACGGTGGTGTTAAGTGCACTTCTTCGCCGGTGGAATCAGCTAAACCGCAAATGGGTGTAGCTGCTTGAAAAAAGAAGCACGATGAGTTGCATGAATTCAGTGACCTCGATTCGAGTCAAAATACGGGGTCACTATTTTAATTACTGAATAATTAAATTTCCTCTGGCTTATCGATTATGATTCATAAAATTCACGAAATGAAGAAAAATAAAAAAATTGATAATCGACTTCGAATGTGATAAACTCGTTTTCAGAAATGCTGAAACTTTAATTCAAACAATCAGTTAATTAATTAGTTAAACAATAAAGGCAAAGAAATTCTAAAAATGGATGTAAATTTGTTAAAATATCATCGTAAATGCAAAGAATCCTCTCCACTCCCTCCCCCCTTTAATTTCAAGAGAAACCCCATAATCCACCAACCCTCACAAAAGAAACAAAATCTTAGGAAAACCGATCGACGATCCATATATAAACGCGGCCGCGGTCCAAAGCAGCATTCCAATGTAGTGGATCTTTGGCATCGGATCTTGGCCTGGATTATCGAAGTCAAGGCATATTTGAAATGGAGTAGCGGAGAGACCAAGAGTTAAAACCACAAACACCGTCTTCGTCCAGGTCTTCGCTATTTAGATCCACTCGATCTCTTTGAATTTGAATTATGCCATAGACAACGGGTTGAGAGCAGCGATAAATATTTGTAAGATTATAGTGATCCGTAATTTTCTCATTCGTCAAGTACTCCTTATAACCCGAAACTTTCTAGAAAATTACGTCAGTAACAATTTAGAATAACGATAAGCATCATCCAAAATCGGAAAATACCGCTCCACTCAGTCACCACTCAGCAGCAAATTGTAACGAACGATAGGTCCTAATGAAGAAAAATAATAGTGAACAACGACTTATGATAAAAGCAATCGGCCACACATTTTTGTAATAAAAAGCTACGAATAATAATGCGTAATATGGGGATAAAATGTCTGAGTGGGTTGTTGCTCAATTCTGAGCACCAATGCTGAGGTTTTCCGCATGAGTAAACCTGTCAAAAAAACCCGAGTGATCCTGGCGACTTACCTATGCTTCTATCGTCAAGGATTCTCTGGCACATTTGTCCAGTGCGACAAGTCAGCGGAACGAGTTTAATCAGTAATGGCGAGGATTCTTAAAGAAAAAAAATGAAAGCTTATATAATGCGTAATATGGGAGAATCCAACAAAAAATCAATTATGAATAAGTACGGTCAAGTATTCTGACCTCAACAAATAACCTTGCTACAAGAAAGGCGCCAACAAATGCTTTGAGTATTCCGACCCCGGATAAAATTGCGGTCCCTTGATACTGGGTTGTTTTTAAAAGCATTAGGTTCGCTCTCTCTTCTTCTTCCAACAATTCTCACCATTACTGGTTAGGTTGACTCCAACAGCTATAAGGGTAAGACGCTTCGAAACGGCGCGGTCTGATGCCATCGTCGACAGTAATAGAAGCCATTCCTTTTTCCATCGTCTAAGTCCACATATCCCTCTACTCTTTTGTAGCTTAGAATTTAAGGCTAAATTGTGATATTTGACAGGATCTACTTTTTCTTCTTCTTCTAACAGCTCTCCCCATTACTGATTAGGCTGGCTCTGCTGGCTAAAAGAGTAAAACATTTCCATGCTGCCCAAACCAACGCTAGTAGTAATAATTCTTTTTTCCATCGTTTAAATCCATATTTTGCTGGTCCACCTATACGTTCAAAATCATTTCTGACCGTATCAGTCCAGGTCTTTATTGTTCAACCTCGCTTTTGACGCCATCCATCACACGGTTTAGCAAGTAACGAAATATGTGACAACTTTTGTGCCCTATTAAGTTAGCTCCGCTGGCTAAGATGCCAGGGAGTTTCTTAACGATAAAAGTACAAGTGGGTCGCAAGCATCACCTGGTTTATTCCTGCAGGAAGTGAAATTTCAGTATCCGCATAAAGGCAACCCACTGAGCCATTCTACTCTCCTTTTGCTTTCCTCCGTTAGCAGCCTGACGAAGAATGGTGCGTTGGCGGATCCGAACCCAAGCTCCGATTCTTGGCAATTGCCACTGAGCCACCGATGCATCACATTGGACTACAGTGATTTTTATACAAGTTGAACAACCAGTTGAAGACCAGTTGAACAGTGATTTATGAAAGGAAAGCATTACTGAAACAGAGCCATTCGATTTTCATTTTCATTTATACCGTTTGAATCTAATTTAAAAATAAAATAAATTATCCTTGAGATTTTGATTTTGATTGATTTTGATGAGATTTTTGCAATGCATTTTAACTAATGTAATAACAATTTTAATATTTTTGTTCTCCCTATTAATTTGTATAATGCTTTGTGTGCTTTAATTTCAATATAAATGCACAGTTATTGTTTTATTTCACCCAAACAAATTTTAAAAAATTAAATTTCATGAAAATTTCGGAAAAGTCAATATATTTTTTCTAATATGCAGTTCATACTACAGCGGGCAGATTTATTAATTTTATTTTTTCTTATTTAAAATAAGAAATATTATTTGAAAAAAAGATGATCCTTGAAATTGATTAATTTAAAAACAAAAATATGTGATAACGAAATACGGAAGAAGATTACGATGTGCAGATAAATAGCAATCGAGGAGCCTTAGCACTTGGCAGATGCATCAAATTTGCGAATAGGAAGGATCTTTTTGCTTTTCGCTTTTTTACAAAATGTGGAAAAATCCAGATGCTCTTTATTTCCAGTAAATGAAAAATCCTTACAGTTAATCCTATTTTAATGAAGAGTGGCTTTGTTTCCTTTCCAGCAACAAAATATTTCCTTTTTACCTTTATTTCGTTTATAATTTGTCCGAATGGCAAAGTGAAGGGTGATTCTCCTAATGATATTTAAAGCGAATTATTAAATAAAAATTCAAAGTCTTTCCCATTTTTATTTGCATTTTGCACATTTTTTTTGTGGTAAAAAATGGAATCGAAACTATTATGAATAAAAATTTAAAGCAATGCAAAATGGAGCTATTCAGATTTTTACAAATCCAATCATTTTTAGATGTCTTTTTCTTATAATATGGTCGTTTAAGTCTTTTAGTGATCATTTCGTTTAAAATAACCTATAAATGGCTAAACTTGCAAAATTGTTCCCAGAGTTCAATTTTGCATAATTATTGCATAATTATAATCATAATTTTTGCATAATTATTTGTTTGCAGAGCATTATATAGCTGAGTGGTGTATAGCTTGGACTATCAATTCATGCATAAACGTCCTCATCACTTCATCAGTCCTCATCACTTGGATGAAAATAAACCTGTCATTAGAAATTAAATTCAGGTGAACCTGCAACGCTCTGGTGAATTTCAGCATAATTTTTTGAAATTACCATATTTAATGGTTCAATTTTTTAATTTTATAGAAACATCTCTTTATAATCTGATTCTGAATAATAAAACTGATTGTCCAAAAATAATATTTTTTCTATAATAAAATCATGGAGAAAACCTAATAAGAAATAATGAGGAACGACAAGGATTATAGAAAAAAGTTATTTTTCGGCAATTTTTTTTATCGTTATCATTGGACATTTTTACAGAAAATTAAGCCAAAAAATCTGAAACTATCATTGAAAGAAAAGAAAATTTTAGCATCAAATGTCCGGTTATCGACCAAATAACATTTTCAGATTTAAGACTTATTTCCGGAATCGATTTTTTTCGTAGAAATTCGAATCTTAACTGGATTTGGATTAATATAAATAAATTTGATAAATTTGGGTTGATCATTTGACCACTTGCAAACTATTTTTTGAATAAATTTTTGAAAAATTTGCAGAAAATAATAAGTAAAAAATTCACTACCGAAAACCCCAAAAGCCATACATTTCCATAATATTATATTATCTCATTCGAACTGTGCATTGGTTGTTTCCATAAATAAATCGTTCGGTGATCGTGATCGTCACGAATATCCCTCAAAGTATGAATGGTAGGTAATCACTGTTTGCAGACTCCATCACAATGTTTTGACTAGTGCTAGTCGTTGTGAATACTTGCTATTACCAATTGTTTCAATTTTGTCGAACCGATTATTTATTATAGAAAATTTTCATTACCTGAAAATTCATTTCTTATTTGACACTCCATGTCATATTATTATTATTTCCTCGTAAAATCATTCAGTCGCTACAAGTTAAAGGAGATTTCTGAAATAATACATTACGAAAGGCGCTCCCTCTAAATTTTTTTAGCAATGATAATGGTTCCTGGCTAAGAATCGTATTATAAAAGAATTAATAAAAATTCGAACCTCCTTTAGGACATATGGGACGTATTTGAGAGAAGAAATTATATTGTAAAATAAGGATCAACTTCGACGTATTCGAGGTTTTATTAGTTGCAGTGCACATAAAATAGGCAATAAAAGCGGCGAATTTCGCATCGGTCGTTTCGCCGTTTTGCCCCGAATGATATTCGTCGTTTTCCACTGTGTATTTATTACTGAATTACTCTGGGGAGAAATTTTCTTTTCTCCTCACTCTTTAAGCAATCTTTTTGACAATTTTTCGTTTGCCAAAATAAATATTTTATATTGAAATCATATTTTTATCAAATGATTTACCGCTCTAATATATTTTTGAGCAAAAAATTTTCGAACATTTTTACTTAAAGAAATTAATTTCCGAAATTTTTACATTTTTTATTTCTTAATAGTTTTATAAAAATTTAGGAAATAAAAAATTTAACGAATTACTCATAAATTAGTCTATAGCATTTGTTTTAAGTCCTGCAGGAGAATAGTGGAATCCAATTCTAAATATTTCGCATTAAGTAACTCATATATAAATTTTTTTGGTTTGAAATTTGACTGAAATATATGAAATCAAATGTGAAATTAATTCGCTCATAATTCGCTCATATCCATGAAACTCGCAACTCGCAACTAATGATAATTATTATTTTCATATCATCTATTAGAAAAATGGGTAGCTGAGCCCATATTACCATTTTAAGAAGTAAACGCTTCGACAGTGATAAACCGAGATATTAAAAATAACATAGACAGTTTTGGCGATCTATATTCTATTTCAAATGGCTTCCTGGCAAAAATTTCTCACCGTACTAACAACCGGTGGAGCAAACTTAACCACAAATATTATTTATTTATTACAACAGAACCCACTGCTTCAATTTATTGCATTTGAGCTCAACTTTCTTGTCAGCTCCATTATTACTTTCATAGCCTAAAATTTTTTTTCAGTTAATCCTATAGACTAATTTTACTTTTTAATCATCTTGAGCGGAGCAAAATAGTTTTAGTTCAACTTCCAAAACTAGTAATTCATTTTAATTAAATAATCATTTTGACACTGTAAAGTACTCTTCTTTTAGCGACCGGTACTACTATTTACCCCATTGGTTTTTATTACCGCGTTTGGCTCTACTTAAGAATTTCCAAACCTCGCGATCCGATGCCACACACCAAAAGTTGTATAATATTACAATCGAAATACGCTTTTCTTTTTTCTCTGTAAACGTAACAAGAAATCTTCCAATCAAATCCTTAAAACATATGGCCTTTTAATCGGTACAGAAAACCGATATTAATTAAATGATGAACGAACCACTTATAATAAAAAAAAAATCAGTTTCTTAATGAAATGAATGGTTTTCAAATAGTTTAATTCCACAAAGATATTTCGATTTGCATAAAATATTGCGGCGATCATAAGTAGAGAGATCGAGTCAAACTTTGTACTATTTATTCAATTCCTGCTTCTCAATGCGATTAAACTTATTATTATAAATGAATTCCCACCTGCATTCTGATTCTCTCTGGCGAAAAAGATCCATCTTAATAACCAGAGGTGCTGGCCAGACCAGATACGGTGCATGCTTGGAAAAGGAAGGTGGCTGGAGAACGCACGCTCAATTATTGAGTGGCGAGATAAAATAATGCGACTTTGGATACTTTTTCTCTTGGAATCTTAAACAAAGTAAATGAATTTCGCTATGAACAAAAAAAATACGGACCATGATTAATATTAATTAGGAGAGAAAAATTTAAAAATCTTTTGAAATATCATTAAAAGTGTAAAAATATCGGTATTAATTTTTGCAAAATAAAAACTTTCATGAAATTAAATTTCTTCTCACAATTTTTTTCGCATCTCTGATTAGATTCACTCGACTGGCTTCAAAGAATTGCTTGGGAATTGAAATGGGGGCAGAAAAGGATCCTGGCGAGTACCACACTCGTAATGGCCTCTGGTAGTGAACTAAAAAAAACCATATAAGTGAGTAATTAATTATTTAGTTTAGACTTCAAAATTTTTGTTTTTTTCTACATTTTTCAAATTATATTTTGCTAAAAAGCGCAGTTTTTGGAAATAAGAATGGAAAAATTGAAAGAAATATTTAGCAATTAGCAATAGTTCTGCAAAGAGTGCACCATTTCTTTTTACATTTGTTCATTGCATTTGTTTTAAGTCCTGCAGGAGAATAGTGGAATCCAATTCCAAATATTTCGCATTAAGCAAGTCATATATAAATTTTTTTGGTTTGAAATTTAACTGAAATATATGAAATCAAATGTGAAATTAATATGAAATCAACAAATTTTACCTAAATTAAGAAATTTATTTTATTTTTTGCTCTTTGACTTTGCGAAATGAATTTTCAGCCGATTTATCATTTATCAATTTACTTAATATTATTATTACTGCGTGGAACAAAGTTATCGAATCGATAATCATAAACGGAAAAGATGGAAAACAGCCTTGAAAACAGCCTTGAGGGTAATAAACGTTCGAAACGACGAGAGCCGCGTTTTATGTCAGGTTTTTGGTTTCTGATCTGGTGCTCATTTGTTTTGATCTTGCCGACTAAACCAATGCACATATATAATATAATACACACCTATTTCGCCTATTTTCTCGTCCTATACTACCACTATTATGTGGCGAGCACTGCAATTTTCCTTCTTCATTGTCGTTTTATCCCAACTTTAATTTTTTTATTTTGTGGATCTTTTTTTTCATTTTCGTTTTTCATTATTCAATTTGCAAAAAATCTATCAACAAAAATTATAATTATAAAATTAACAAAATTCATAAAAACTTTCTTGAAATGGCAAATTAAAAGGATGCAGTAGCAGTAGCTGCTGTTTAGATAATCTGCTCGACCAACAAAGTTCAAATTTTGTCTCTGGTACACAAAAACTATATAAAGAAATCTGGGTGATGGTTTGTACTTTTACCTGCTTGCCCATCTATCATCAAATCACTCCTAAATTTTTTTAATCCTTCTAAAAGACAGCGAGCATTATCAACAATAATGAGCAATAATCGCTAGCTCATATATTTTAAAAGCCTTTTATTTCAAAAAATTTTGCATGAAATTTATTTTTTATTTCGGTTTATAATTGAAATTAAAGTAATTATAAATATTCAATAATTAAATTTCATTTTATTTAATTGTTATTGTTTAATTTCCTTAATTCATCTCGAAGAATTTTTTGCTTTTTTGTGAATTTTCGTTATTTGATGAAGAAAATGAAAATGCAAGAAAAATATAAATAATTTATTAATTAAAAAAATAGGTATAAAAAGTGTAAATTATTTTGCCCTTACAATATAAATTTATTTTTTGCCGTAAATAATTTTGCACCTAAGTCCATTCATGAAATGAAATGAATTTTGTTCGTGAATTCTAAAATTAATTGCTTATTGTTGACTTATTACATACTCAATACATACTCTATAGATTATTATTTCTTCTTTTGTAGGGCTTTAACGCTTAGGTTTTGGTTTAGGAAATTATGTGACTGGAAGTGACTGGAAGTTATATATTGTTCCACGTAAGTAATAAAAAGTCTTCGGCAAATCTCCATTCTCTGCTAACAGATTATATGAATTGTTTTTCACTAGCTTTTCAAGATCTTAAAAATTATTATGGATCGTATGACAAGTTTTAACAATTTCTAGCTCCATCTCTACTTAAGATAAATCTCATTGGTTATCGAGTCACTTTTGGATAGAAATATAAATGACTCTACCCGATAATATAATGACAAGAAGTGGGTGAAAATTAGCCACCAATAGATATTTTATCGCTTGCCATTTTTTACCATTAATGATAAGAATGATAATAAAAAGAGAAATGTGATAAGGGGAGTCAATTTAAAAAAATTTTTTACTGACATCTGACATCTATCGAAATATCTCTTAGGTATCCGAAAACGAATTTTTTATAATTTCTTGTCATTGTTTTATCAGCAATCAATTAAGCCACTCTTATTTATCATTTTGACATTTTTTTGATTGATGTATTTTTTACACGATCAAAATTTTATGTCACATTTTTCGCGATTGTTTTTTAGAACTTTGTTACATGGTCAAAAAATGAACGGCTGAAAGATAAAACTGTGATGAACAGCTGCTATCCATGACCGAAAATTAATAGGTAGATCTGACCATCATTTGCAAAGGATGAAAATTGGAAAAATCAAGGTTTATAGCTTTTTTTGAACGAACTTGACTGATGCTATCGGGGATTCCGAAATTTTTGTTATCGCAATGAATAATAAAAATTTTATCAATTTATTTAAATTTATGTAGATACTTCAGTTCATATTAATTAAATTTTTCTCTTTTTTGTACCTAATTTTTTTGTAATTTCATAGTTTTGAATCTTTTATTTTATTCTTATAAAATGTAAGATCGAGGACTGAGTTTTTGAAAGCTATTTTCTTCTTATTATCTAGATTTTAATTGCAAGCTAATTTTTTAATTTTAATTTTAAATAATTTTTTAAATTTCATATAAATTTCTTCTTAAAATATTATAAGTAGATTTCAACAATTTGCTATGAAAAAATTGTAAATTGCAAAAAATTTTTGAAAAAATCGGTCTGATGCTCCATTTTGTTCGTTTTTATCAACTATTGCTGCTAAAAATTGATAGTTTTGGCGACTTATTTATACTTATATTCCAAGTGGCCCTCTGGTCTTACAGCTAGTCGAACTAGAAATGGTGAGCGCTAATCACTTATTTATTCACTTGGAATATGCGAGCAAGATTGGTAAAACTTGTGCAATTTTCAATCTCTTTATCGTTGATATTATAAACTAGTTTGATTTGTCACTCAGTTTTCACAGTGTTTCAAAAAAAATTGTTTCAATTATTTTTGCTGTATTATTATATGTAATTGAATTATATTGATAAGATTGGGTTTTAATAAGGTTTTAAATGAGTCTCAGATAAAAATCAATTGGTGATCAATTTACTATTAACAGTTAAATCTAGATAGTATTTCTGATCCTCTCATGCCTTTATACCCAAATGGCTCATTGGCGAACTGGTCTCTCTTCAGTAAGCGGTAGAGCTAACCAAACTGAATTGGTCAACTATTAAAAGAAGATCTCTTACTAGCCAATCTTTGTAAAATTGGGAAAATTTTTTAAAAATTGATTGGAAAGCAGCCGATGCACTATTATGTGGGTAAATCGAATGAATAAAATTATAAAATGAATAGGGATCATTTAAAATCAAATGATATATTTATTGAACAGCTGAGGCTATAAAAGAAGGCCCATTTTCTTTAATTGCTTACAGTTTGCACTTCAATTTTTCTTACTCAAATGAAATTTACTTTTTTCCTTGAAGAGGAACATTTTGTTCTTCTTCCTTCTCTATTAGATTCTTATTTTCTTTTATCTAACAAATTTCTTCAGACTTTCAATTTTCGGAAGGAAGGAAGACTATAATTTTATCCTTTAATACTAATTCTGAAAACATCTGAAGTTCCATAAAGGCTATACAAAAGTTAAAAAAGATTGCAATAAATGTTTTCCTGTTGTTTAAATGCCAGAAATTTTTTATTGCTACGTATTTTAAAACCTAATGGAATTTAACTTTTAAAAAAACTAGAAATTTGTTGGGTAAGCGAGATTTTTTAGATAATTTTTTAAAATTTTCTGTTTGATTTTGTTGATTGGTTAAATTAATTTTACCATTTAAAAAGGCATCTTGAAATATTTTCTAAATATTTTACGAAGCCCATTTCTGCAGTTCTTCTTCGCCTTTGTATGTTTTATATTATATTATATTATATTATATTAATAAAAATATAAAAAAGGCTAATCTTCCCAACTACAGTAGCCGGACATTAATCTACTGATAGCGCATTCGGTCCGCATTCTTCAATATTAAATTAAAATTAAAAAATGAATTAATCCTCACTTACTGCATAATTTATTGCATAAATTAAGAAGCAAAAGCGGATTGTTGCTTAGATTATCGCGTTTATTATCGCGTTAAATTTAATTTTTCGAAAAATTATATTTAAATCTTGAAATAATTAAACATTCAGTCGTAAAAATATAACTGGCAAATCAAATCTGAAAATATTTTTGACTAATTTGTTGGTCATTTGGGACAAAATCCAAGCCAATCCCACCCTCAAATGAAATAAATTTTGCTTATGCACGAGACACGCCCAATGATGATCTGCATTTCTATTAGTTTGGCCATCAATCGGGGAACCTTTTTTTGCAGATGCAGGTGACTACTCGTTATCACGCGATAGATTATGATTATATAATTTAAAATTGAAATTGGTAAATTCAAAGAACGCGGAAGTGCCTTCATTATTATTGAAACGAGAAAGGAAATAGGAAAAAGAACGATGTTCATCATCATCTCAAAATATTTCCTTAGAATATTTATTTTTTTCAAGCAATTACTCATTACTTACCTCTTTCTTTCAAGCCTATTATTTTATGCTGCTCCCTCACCTGAAATTCAAATTATATCCAATTCCGAGTCAACAAATATTGAAAATGAAGCTGTCGATCTATTAATTTCATATCGATTTGGTGATAAACAAAATAGTCAAAGGTTATTTGGTACATTCTCAAATGCAGGAAGCAATTATGAAACCGCCGGAGACATTATCCAGGTTTGTTACTTATTTTTTTACAAACGAATCCTTTGTTATTGGGAAATTTCCTGCTTTCATTTAATGCTATTTAAAGACGTTTTTACATTTTCAAAACTTTTTTGAAGTTTGAAAGGGGATTGAATATATTTTTATTTTTTTCGATTTTTCAGAAGCATACGTTCCTAAAACAAAAATAATTCTAATTTTTAATTTCACATTTAAATGCATTTTATTTAATTTAAATGCATTTTCCTTTTTTTAAAAAAATATTAAAAACGAGCTTTTCTTCAAATATTTCTATTTTTTTTGCATCACACGCTGTGGAATTGCTTGCACCACTTGAGTTCCATAGAATGCATCGCTCCGATTGCTTCAAACCACAATAGGTCCAATTTTTGTTTCTTGGCGAAAATAAATCTGCCATTAAAAGAGAAACTGGAATGGTGAGTGATTCACCTGCATTCACAATTGACTCATAGTTAAAGTCAGTAAATTTAGCCAAAGTAAATAGAAATGATACATGCTGTTAAAGTAAGATCTCATTGAATGAGGAGATCATTAGCGCGGAAGTTTAGATAATTAATTTTCATCGAAATTAATTAAAATATTTCCAAAATATCTCATAGAATTTTTAAAAAACTACTCTGCAGAATACTAAAAATGATATTTGCGTTCGTTGTTCATTCGTTGCAGGCTTCCTTTCATTTTCTTGACTGACTGATTCCTCGTTTTCATTTTGATAAATTAGCTTTTTTTCTTCGAGTGAGGGTGGCCTCGGCAATTCTTTTTCATCTAAGTGCTAATTTTTTTTAAATCAGTTCTTTTCCTCTACGTCCTTAATTAGTCTTTCATTTCATGCGGGGTATTTAATTTTAGAGATAAGATAGCCGAGTGTATAATAGTTCAGATTATCGTATTGAAAGGCAAAGATTCGTGCCGTATTTGTTATTAAAAATTCTCAGTGAGGAATCGTATAGTAATATACTTGTATATTTTTGTTGTCAAATGACTGGCAAAAATTTCTAATTCTATTAATAGTCAGTGGGGCAGAAGAAAATATGAGCCCTAACCACTTTTTTGCTATAGAAATTAATGGAAATCTGACCTGATTCAGAAAAAAAACTTCAGATCGCCAATTGAATCGGCCATTTGCGTTAAATGGCCTAAATTTATTAATGGCTAATTAGTAACAAAAATATTTTTTTTCTTTTTTATAGAACCAAAAGAAAAAGGAAATGAATTTCTTTTAGTTCATTCATTTTAGTTAAGAATTTTTGACGATTTTTTTGGAAGTCTGGTTGCTTTTCCATTATTCATTTATTAGTTTATATCACTGAGCATCTATATCTGTTAGAAGATAATATCTAGAAATTTTGTCAAAATTGTACACAATTTTTTGATTTATACCATTTTTTATCATTTTATCATTCTCTTTAATATCTCTAAGTTAAATATGTATATCCTTATTTTATCAATAACTCTAGGGAGAATTTTTTTGGAGCCGAACGGTCTGCATTTTGTGGGCAAATCTTCGGAATCTCTTTTTTAGGCTATCATAATATAGTCTCATGCACTAAATAATCTCATAGCTTTTGTTCTTTTGCCCTTTTGCCCTTTTTTTTCTCATCATTAAAAAGAACCCCATCTACCCAACTTGAAAAATATTTTTTTTTCCAGGAACACTCACCGTTTCTGGTTACGCTGACTCCACTGGCTTGCCAGACCAAACAAATTTTGCTAGGGAATCTTTTACCAATATAAATATAAATATGTCGTCAACACCATCCGGATTTTTGAAAGAGAGGCTTATTGTCGGGGTGGAAGAAATCAGTGTCATCAGTGAATTGAGCAACAACCCACTGAGCCATTTCTTCTTTTGCATTCGCTGTTCGGCGATATGAGAAATGGTGCATGGATGAGCTTCTCGGTTCACGGTGGCATTCTTGCCAATAAGCCGATGCATCAGCAAATATGCTTCTTAATATATAAAAATTTCAAACAATAATAAATTTTACTATAGATGATTTGATGATTTTAACCTTATACATGCTTTAAAATTTTCTTTCCTTTTCCTTTTTTCTTCTTTTTTCCTTCTTTCGTAATGAATTATTTTTTCATTTTATTCGATTAAATTTTATGAGTCGGAATATTTATCGGTGCCATTCAAATTCTCATCATTTCAATATCAAATTTTCTTTTCATTTCTTTTTCTGTCTATGGTAAATTCAGGAATGGTGAAAGCAATCTTGCAATATAGAATTACGATAATTCCAGAAGTTATAAATCAATGTTTATGTCGATGTGGAAAATCCACGAATCCATGAAAAAAACCTAAGTTCTGCAAGCTATTTCATTATTCTTGGAAAAACCAGAAAGATAATAAATAGATAAGTGAATCGATCATGTGGAACGTTTTTTTTTAAACCAATAAATTATCAAAATTTATATTTTTATTCCATAAATCTTTGCTCAATTTTATAGAAAACGTTTTTGTTTTTATCATATTTATAATTGAATTTCATGGCAAGCATATGTTACAAATTTTATCAAAATCCTTTAAATTTTTTTGTGAATTCGAATCACCCCAGTTAGAGTTGCGAAATATCTGACTGAAATGCATTTCACCTTATCCTGCGCTTATATTAATGATAAAAATGAGTGGTTAGCGCCTACTATTTCTCGTTAAGTTTGCTCGAACTAATAGGTAAGACACTTTTGGCACGAAATCATTCGATGAAATCCAGAGAAGTCGCCAGCACCATCCGTACTTTTTTATGACAAGATTGCTCTTCGGAGACGCCAAATTATGACTTTCAAAACAACAATCTACGCAACACTGGGTTATCCCGCTTACGTTAGGTCATGTACGAAACGTTGATAAATAAAAATAAATGCAACATATATTTATTATAGTCTCAACGTATTGAGAATTGAGAATGTTTCTGGCAAACAAAAAAATGGCAACATGGATAATTTCATTTTTTAAATCTAGCATAAAATTATAGGATCATCTAAAATTATCAATTAAAAGGAAAAAGGAAAAAAAAAGGAAATTTCGGTTTGAATCGAGAGGGTCGCAGATTTTTCTTATTATGAATATTTTTTGCTATAATTTATGAAGATTATTTATGCCAACCACTCTTAATTTAATTTAAACTTTAATATTAATTTATTATTAATTTTATTAACCATTTTAATTTGTATTATATATATATATATAATTATTTTATTATAATTATAATATATATATATATATATATATAATTATTTTGTTGTTAACTTTTAAAAATCAGTTTGTCAGTTTCCTAAAAATCTTTCAAATGCAATAAATTATCGTGAAAAGGATTCTTTTAAAATTCCAAATTTAATGCAATTTATCTTTTTTTCTTCATTTTTATTCACCGACATCTCTAGAAAACGGAACGGAAGTTTTTTTCGATGAATAAAAAATAAATGAGCTCGTTTGATCGGATGGGCCGCTGTGCAGGCACTAGTTAGCATTGCAATTGCAGTTATTTTGGCTAGTTCGCATTCTTTTTATCGATGATGATGGCTACGTATGAATGCGATAAAAAGGCCTTTGATATAATAAAACTTTTATACTCGAATTTAATAAAATTCCGTTTGATTTTCGCCAGTTTGAGTTTTATTTAGTTAGATATGATGAAAATAACCCATTATATGACTTTGATTTAGATTAAAATGATAATCTTCACAAGCAGAATTGGCTGTTGGCCGTACTTCGAGGCATGAATGCTCTTGGTAAAAGTAAAAGTAAACTTATCCTTCAAAAATCCAGGTGGTGCTGACGACTTTTGTTTCATCGCCAAGTGGATCCCTAATGAAATTTGTCCGATAAGACAGAGGAGCGAATCTGAGCAGAAATGGTGAGCATTCGCTCTTACTAAAATAAGTCATCATTTATTTAATTGGCAACAATAAGCAAACAGGAGAAGCAAAGCAATATGCTTGCGTATTGTTAGAAACAATGACCAGAGTAAGCGAAGTCGCTTTATATATTAGAAATAGTAACCAAGCAGGTTAAGTAAAGCCTTGAATCCTCACTCCTTATCATTTCATTAATACTTAATTTTTTTAAATTTTGTCTTGCGAGACATTCTTGAATTTTTATGAAAAAATTCCCATAAATTTTTTAAGAAGGAGTAAAACTGTTGTTTAAAAATCTAAGTGGAGACCACCGTATTTCTACGAGTGGCAAAGCGAATTTATCGCTCTTCTAGCAGCGACTAATTATTTAATTTATTGGCCGCTTATGTGGCTAAATTTGAATTTAATTTCGTGAAATTTCAAAAATTTTTTGAATCGATTAGTGTAAATTTAATGGCAATTATAAGTCGTAAAAATTCACACCTGATGTTTATCATCACCACTCGACGTGTTTATCGTTTACAAAGGAAAATGCCGCTCAAGTGTAGTTGATAATAAAAATTAACCATCAAAGAATCTCGCCGATCCTTTAAAAAAACCTGTTTTACAAAATTTTCAGCAAAGCATGATTTTTTGATTCGATCATTAAAGTACTTTCCATTTTTTCTTCTTATCTGCAAATTATCCTCGAATCTTTTGGCTCGAGAAAGTTTTTTAGGAGTGAGAAAAGGATGATGTGGGTTTTTGTATATTTTTGGCTTTACGGATTTCGAACTATAGTGCAGCCTGATCCATAAAGATTGCCACAACTTCCTGGTTTATTAAAAACGCTTTACAAAACATTCCGCCTCGCACAACTCTTTATTCATTAATCTAGCAAATTAAGTGTCATTCAAATGTTTTAGGAGTGAGAAAATATTATATCGATAATAAGCTTCTTTAATTTTAGTTAAGTGTTTTAACTGTAGAGACTCGAGAAAACGATTTTCCATAAACTATTTGGGATTCATCTTAATTATTATCCTTAATTCAGAGCCGTCTTGGCTTAGCTTTTATGCGATTAATAGCGTTAAATTAAACGCTAATAAGCTATTCCAATTTCCGTCTTTTTAAAACAAAATAAGGAAATCCAGATTCTTTCAATATCCATAGTAATTTATCGAACCAATATTATCTATATAAATAATTATTTCGAGAAATACCCAAAATCTAATAAAAATGAGTAAAAGAAAACGGAAGACGAAAAGCTTTCATGAACGGAAATAAAGCATCCTAAAAGTATCTTTAAATAAACAACTCGTATAAATAGATATAATAGATTCGCTAGTAAATACACCATAGAATTACAAAGAATAATGAAATTTTTCTATGGCCAATTGGTGCTAAAAATGAAATCCATCATAAAATCCAACCGAATGAATGTTTCCTTATTCTTATTAAGTAATTGGTCGTAATAGTGAGTGCTGAAAAAAAAAATTAAAAGATAGATGAATGAGTTTTGCATAAAAAAGTGGTTCAGCTTATGAGTAGCCAACAAAGTTCGTCTAAAAATGCGGGTGACTGCTGGCTACGCTGGTTTTATTAAGACGTTTCCAAGTCTCTCGACTGTGAAAGAAGCAACCGCTTTTTCCGCTGTCGGACTCTGAATTAATTTTCAGGTTCAGATAAATCGAAGTCTTCCTAGCTTTATAAAAAAAGTACAAGAATAATAAAGTATCACTCGACATTTATAAATTACTTCCGCTCCAAGAGATTCTTTTTCTCATTCCAGTAAATAACAACGAAGCTTGCTGATTCATCTCATTTCGATTAACTTGTCTCCGGATATTGATGAAATAAATTATTCGATATATACAATTTTCTCGTTCTCTCTATAATTTTACTAAAGCAATCCAAACAAATCGTTAATACCCTGAGGGAATTTCCATTGATTTTTCATTAAGTGTACATTTGTCTGCAAAATGCTTAATTTAAAATTTCTTCCCTTAATTATATTATTATTTCATTAGTACTTTTGAAATTGAAAAAATATTAAATTGCTTGGAGATGTTGGGAACTTTTTTCGTGGAATGATTTCATGAAAGAAGCATAGTTGGATCGTCAACACCATCTGCAGTTTTTTAACAACAAGTTAGATTTCATGTGCATTTGTGATGCGTCACCTAAATTGTTTGCTATATGTTATTGCATTATTGTAATGAATAATACCAGAGAATTTATCCAGAAAAGTGTCGTCAGAATTTATCATTTTTGTTTATCCATTATTAAGCTTTTGCTAGTAATGTAGAATATATATATATGTTGTCAAATTAATAGCCATGTCCTTTTGCTTTTAATAACTATTGGAAGAATTTGTGGTACCAAATTCAGTCTGAAATTTCTAAAAGAAAAAAAGAGATCCATAAGAACAAATATCTAATTATCTTACTTCAATATTCATAAAAAAACTTAATGCTTTTTCTATAATGTGAGCTTTGATTTAGAAATTGGTAAATTTCTCAATTTTGATCGGAGATCTTTTCTTTTTTCATTGCTAAGATAATAATAGATAAAAAAGATAATTTGCCATAATAATTTTGATTGTTTGCTTTTATTATCTATAAAATTTGTACTTATTATCCAGAATGACATAAAATCAACATTCCACCCTCTCATAAAGAAATCGATAAATAATAAATTTTCATGAAAACTGTTGTAGAATTTTTTTTCATTTTGGAAATTTTATATTAATTTTATTTCTTAAATGGTCGCAGCATCATTCTGGATCATGAATCGAAATAATTGATTTCTATTAATGATAATAAAGAACGAATTAAAATGATTGCAAAGTTCATCATCATCGTAAATTTTCTAATCTTCATAACGAGACTAATCATAGAAAGTATTAAATATCGTGAAATTTTTTGCATTTCCATCATTATGATATTTCCAATCTGCAGTGATATTTAAGAATATGAATGTTAAAAGAACATTTAGGATAATATTTAAAGCAGATATTTAATTGTTCTTTGCTGGATTACGTAGATACCATTTATTTATCCACAATATAGGAGAAAAATTCCAAAAAATTGGTTCGAAATAATTATATGAATCGCCCATTCGGTCAGTTCAAAAGGAATTCGTTTAACTTCAGAGTTAACATCATTCGATATATTTTGAAATATGCTTGAAATCATCCATCTCATTTTCATTTTATTCCCCATAAATTTTAAGAAAGCTGAAATATAGCTAAAAGCTAAAATTTTAAAAAATAAAATATGAAATAATGAAAACGGTCGAAAGTTAACGCGAAACTTGTTATTTTTTTAAGAAGCCCGGATGTAATCCATGGGATTTACTTATGTTTCTATATAACTTCTTGGCAAAGAAGTAACCTCATTATAGTGGTGGAATAGCCAGAAATGCTTTGAAAAAGGTGTCTTATCAAAGCTTTAAAAATATTGCAATGATTATAATTAATAAATTATTTAAGAGCCGTTCAGGCTGACTTAATTTTCTCCATCCAAGATTGCAGTTATTCTAAGAGGGCGAGAATTTAGTTCTTGCTCCTAAAAGAAGTAAACCTATTAAAAAATCTTATCTCACTGAACAATCTGAGTGCTACTGGCGACTCATCTGTTCAACTATCGCCGATTAAGCGGAACAGGAAATTGTGAATGCTAGCGTCTTATTTATTTTTATTGTTGGATTTTTCCACTTCCGTTTGTTATCTTAATTTATCGTCTCTTGATTTAATAAGTTTTTTTCCTTAATTTACTAATTATTTTAAATCACTTACAAATCATTCAATTGAACTCGTTATTTAAGCTCGAATAAAGAGATATTTATTAGTTTCGGCAAATTTATGAAAGCTAAATTACCATCTATCTCTACCCGATCTAACCAACGAAGACTCATTTATCAACTTCAAATCGCACAGCTATTTTATAAATCTTAGTCGGCGTCTTTGATTCAAAGAAAAAGAAAAAGTATTTTTTGTTTTTCAAGAATTTTTTATTGACGATTTTTTCTTTCGATTTTATGGCAGAAAAGAATTTTACCTCATCGAAAAATTTCGAAAACTCGTGTGTTTTTAAATAATAAAAAATATTTTCGATATGGTTCAAAGCTATTTTTGAAAGAATTATTATTTAAAATATTACGCTAATTTTATTTTTTGTACCCATCTTCACCTTTTCACTTTCACCTTTCAACTTTTTTCTTCAACATTTCGATAAACAGTTGCAAAAAATTCTCTCCATGCATTGTTAATGATCTTATATTTATGCGCCATGTTTTTTTATCGTTCCGTTTTACTTTTATCTGAGAATTTTTAAAAATATTTTCTATAAAAAATTGGAGTACATTTTCCTTTCTCTATCTTTTTGCTTTTCTTTTTCTTCTTAATTTGGTATTTTTTATATTATAGTGAATTAAAGAGCCATGTTTCAGGTGTTTCCATATCGAGCATGCGACATGAAAAGGAAGGGTTTTGATCGAACTTTAATTGATCATATTGCTGTAATTTTCTTCGATGAACTTGAACCTTTTATTGTTGGATGCGTTTCACTTGATAATCAGGTTTACTTATTTGTTCAGATCTGTCAAATTAATTTGAATTGAAATTTTAATTGAAACGTGCTATTTCCTGGTTGTTATTTGGTTTTATCTTGGCGATTCACTTATATCGCAAAAGATCTCCTTGGTTGTGCTAACAGGGAGCGGAGAGGGGATAACCAGAAATGGAATAACTTGATTTTTATTTCATTCTACTTTCTTTAAGCTAAGAAAGAGTGGCAAATTTTAAATTAAAAAATAGTAAATAATTGTTTTTTGTTGGATTTAAGAATAATCGAAAATTTTTGCCGATAGAAAATGATAATTCAAATTTGAAGAAAAAATTGCCATCTGCCCTTAAGTGTAACGATTTTTCACATAAATGTGAAATTTTAGTGGTTCTTGCTAAAAACCCATAAAAATTGTTGTTTTCACCTATATTTATGAGCACCATTAAAACGACCGATTTAAAATTATTCCCACCATCTGTTATTACATTTCCTCTGTTATATTCGATTTTATGATTGTTTAAAAAAAAATATTTCTTAAAAAGTATTTCAGTTTCCTAATTTTCCTAGAAGGAAGGATTAACAGGATTTTGAATAAATGATATTTTAGGAATATCTGATAAAATTGGTTTATTTAAGATATGTTTTTTAAAGAGATTAATTGACAAGGAAAAGAGTTTCCTTTTCTGGTTTGAAAAAAAAAAGATTTCATGAGAAAAGATTTAAAATATAGAAGCAGAGAAGACATGAAATAGAATTAACAAGAACTTCAGGTCCGATTTGCTGAAAAATCTGGAGCGCTTGGCCTAGTTGTTGGACCAGGAAACAGAGTTGTCATGCAAATTAATAATAAGGTTATTATTAATTAATGAAAAAATAGGACTTCAATTCCATTATTGTCAACTGATTATTGTTTTTATTGTTTTTTATCATTATCAGGAATAAAAATTTAAATCATTCTTATTATTTATTTTGTCACATTTAGCATATTTTATAAAAGATAAATTCTTTATTTTTTCAATAAATGAAAATTCCTTGTTAAAATTTCGAGATTACATTAACTGTATATAATTTAAGCTTGAAAGAGGTCGAATACCAGTCGTTGTATTGGATGATGTAGAAACTAAAAAGCTTAAAATTCACCTAAATGATGCTTCACAAAGCGGTTCAATTATAAAACTGTCGTTACAATATGTAGATGTCAGGCCACAATTTGCTTTGCATTTGCAGGTGTCGCTTCAAATTCCATGCATCTTGATTCATTTTTATTCAATATTTCATGATTTTATCCTGCTTTTAGGTATTTCGACCAACAGTTTTAAATATCGGTTTGATAATAACCCTTGCATTGTTGGTATTTTTTATTACTGGATTAGTATTTATCAAAATCAAGTGGAAACCAGCATCCCATCGCGATATTTGGCTAAGAACATTGGCAAGGTCAGGTGGTACCTTTTTTAATAGTTTGTACATCTATATTTCTATATTTATCTTATCCACATATTTAGACATTTTAAAAAAACAGTACAATGTTCCAGTCTAAAAAAAAGGCAGTTTTCTTGAAAAATTAATTCAGTCAAAATTCCTTGAAAATTTTAAATTTTTTTTGTTCAGGTCTGCTATTAACAAGATGGAAGTAAGAAAATTTGAAAAAGTGGTTGGATATCGTGAAGTCGAAGACTCGAGAACAGGCTCAAATTGTAAAAGTCGTAAACTTTTATGCCTTTCCGCTAAACGCAAATATGTGCCTGTTTTTGGTTCATTAGCATCTATCACACCAAGTTGTAGTATTCAAGTAATTTGCCTTTTTATCTTTTCAATATCGCAATATTATCGCAATTATTCTTTTTTTGAAATTATTTATTGTATTATTTATCTATTCCATTTTACTAGATTTTCGCTTAAATATCCAAATATTTAGAAATACTAAACTCGAACTGCAAATATTTTTCGCTTCAGTCATAGACTAACGAAGAGATTTCAGTTCGTTTTAATGAATGATTGCAGGAGCGTTGCAGTATTTGTTTAGAAGAATATAAAGAAGGTCAAGAATTGCGCGTACTTTTCTGTGGACACGAATTTCATCCAAAATGTGTTGATCCTTGGCTTATCAACAACAGGTATATTTTAAAACACTAGGATGTACAAAAAAAATTTATGAAACTTCACGACTTTGCGCTTGCTCTTCTACATTAACCTGGTTGATCACTTACAACCATTGGTAATAAGCAAAAGCAGTTTTTTTTGTTATTTTTGGATTTCTCTTGTAAAATTTTAGGCGTTGTCCCCTTTGCCAGTATGATGTTGTTTATAAAGAATATCCAAAGGTTGAGCCAATAGCAAAAAACAATCGGGCAAAGTTAGTATCTTATTATTTGAAATGAATACAGCCTTTGCAAAATGTTTAATGTTTATCAAAATTCTTAATTATTTTTACAGTTGAGGTCCTTTCGCGACGTCGAAAGGTTTCAGCTAAGGCAAAGATAATTTTTGCCAATAGAATTTGATGAATTTTTTCTAATAGATTTGTTTTATGGTATTTTTGCCTTCATTGAAACAATATGAAGCCACTGGACGTCGCAAAAGCGGCTCAATAAAAAAATTTTTCTGAAGTCATATTTACTGAAATTGAAATTGTTGCTTGGAATATTTATTATAAAAAAATATAGCGACATTTAAAGTAAGACTGGATAGTCATTTGTCTAATTTATTACATTTTCCAGTTTCAATTCTATTCCTCCAAATAAATCGTCGAACCAGCAAGAACTGCCTTTATTACCATCTATTAATTTAGTGAATCAACCATCACCCCAATTCTCATATATGCAATTGTCGAACTATATAAAGATGCCATCGACTCGGAAGAAAGGATCTCGACCACAATTAACATATACAGTACCTTATAAAAATATATAATAGACACTTTTTTGCCATCGCTTTGAAAATTTATTCAAATTTTAGAAATATACTGGAGTTTAAGAAGAAATCCCAAGCTCTATAACGTTTTCTCGCCTTACCTGCATAATTTTTTAAATTTTATCATCATTTGGTACCAAATAAATTACTGTGCTCTTTATTTTCTTTATTTCGTTTTGTCCTTTGTGCTCGAAACTGCATAAATCTTATACCATTTTAGGATCTATTTTTGTTGTATTTAATTCGTGAAAAGGATAGAATTTAAGCTTCAATTTAAATTTTAGGTTTGATTCAATAACAATTGAACAATGAACCAATAACAGTTATTTTCCAGCCTCTACAGTTTAATTGTCATGTGCATCGAGTTGTGGAAATATCTACCCGTTGTTCACCATATACTGCCTGTCGTAAGCATCGAAATCGCGATAACACTGGCTATAAAGTTAATAAACATAGTTTGTATAATCGAAATCGCTCGTTTGGACTGCATTATAAGCGTCGTTATTTGAGATCCAAAATATCGTCCTCAAAAATGCGATTACCTTCTTGTAGTACAAATTTACTAGCAGACGTCTCAAATGCGACTCCTAGGTAAAAATTTTTCTGGGTCCTTTTGTCATTTTGCGACAAAAAAAATATCGGTTAGTTTCAGGTTTTCCTCCGATGAATCCTCAGAAACGAAAGAGAACAAGAAAAAATTTTCCTTCCATCAATATTTGCCTCAGACTCAGAGATGCAAAAATATTTATTTAAGGCGGAAATATAATGGCGATGGTCAGTGGCCATTAAGACCGCAATGTTATGTTAATCAGCGGATCATCGCAACACTTAATAGGATCACATATGAAAAATCAAATTATATAAATGTTTGTACAGAGGAATTGTGAATGAGTAAAATGAAATTGAATTTTGACATTCCATACAAAATAATTGCTAAGGATAAATATATAGATATCCATTTTCTTTTAAAACCATACTTTTCATGAGAACTCATAAAAATAAATCATAAAAATTCTAAATCAGGTTTTTCAGATTTTTCACAGTGAAAATTAATCTATTCATTTATTCATTGATAAGTTTTTTTTTCTCAATGTAATTCTTTTCTTACTTTAACTTAACTTAAGTATTCATATCAACGATGCAGTCATTTAAAATGGTTTTTTACTGTTCATATATTATGTATTGTTTTATTTGTATATAGCATAAAATATTACCGAATATTAATTCAAGATCATCATCATCTAGGACAACAAAATTTCGCTTATCTGATAATAAAGGGAGAGTATTGACCTTAGATTATTAGACATTGTGACTTTAATGAGCAGGAATAACTTGTTAGGAAACTCGGGTGATAATGAAAACACACTTTAACTTATATCCCCACTTGATCTCTGGAGAAAATATTTAGTCAAAATTTATGAGCGTTTGGCACAAATTGTTAGCAAATATTTCTTTTACAAATATTATTCAAATAATCTTAATGAACTAGCAGTAATCGATACTTATTGTACCATGGTAATTTCGGCATATTTTACTTCCATTATTTTATCATCGAAATAAGTGTAATCGTAATTTAACTGAGAAAAAAATCACAAAGCCCTTTGGACCATTTCCTTGTTTCTTCAGGATTCGTTGAAACTCCAATTTTTTTTATTAGATAAGTGAATGGAATAAGTAGAAAGAAATAATACAGCAGGATGCATTCCGATGTGGAACTACTAGGCCAGTGATTTCGTGCTCACAAGTTTGCTTTATACTCAAATGGTGTATTTTCCTGGTTCACAAGTGGAAGTACGTGTATATCATAAATACCTATAGATACCATATCATCATATCATTAACTTTTTCAAACTAAACTTGCCGTCGCATTAGACCTTTTTTTCGACTGTTCTAATTCGAGATAATTCACTGATGATAATTCTACTCCTTTAGTTTCCGGAAGATAAATTACTGATAATAGAAGGCTTGAACCTCCAACGATAACCACAGCAATATAGAGTGCAGGTTTATAAAATGATGCCATATATACTATCTGAAATTCGCACATATTTAATATGTAGAATATATTAAAAAACAAAATATTTCCTTCCCATAGATTAATTCACTTTGCATCAAACGTGACATATTTTGTGTTTCACTTAGAAATATCTAATTTACTAATTAATCAAAGAATGAAGCGGAAAATTGCAATAATTATAATAGTTATTAGTTAATAATTATTTAATTTCCTATTAATCCATATTCAATTAAACATTTCACAAATTTATTTATAACCATTAATCGTTTATTTTTAATTTAATTAATTACTTGAGGAGCTAATAGTGTGCCAACTCTTGCCATCATCGAACATGTGCTTGTACCTATAGCACGAATCTCAGTTGGAAAATATTCAGCAACACAAATATATAGTGCATCCCAGGTAACTTCAACAAAAGAGATTCCAATAAAATTAAGGATAATTACTGGAAATTATTGAAAATTTTACTAATTCTTCAATTTACATTTGGCATTTAATTTGGCGGATTATGTTTCCAACTGTCGAAGTTAAGCTCAATTATGCGAATGCCGAAAAATGAAAAATAAATTTTGATGGAATTTTTTTATGCATGGATGGAATTATTATTTGCATTTTCAGACATATAACTTTAGGTAATTTTGATCTAAACATCCTTTTGCAGATAAACCATTTGCAATATAATTATTCGGTTCAGTGATTCTGCCCGTATTTCTATCCCCAAGTGACCTCTATCAAAACGGTCATAGTCTAGCAGTCAGTTAGATTAGAAATGGGTGTTGTGGTAAAAATTATTTCATTGTTTACAAAAATTTATCTTATGAATAAGAACAAACTTGTCCAGTTAATTAATGATGTCTCACATTGCAACGAATCATTTATGATCATAATAAGTGAAATCGTTGCAAAACAAATCAGCATTACACTTTGAGGTATTTGGAATAGTAAACGGCGGCCAAATTTTGGCACATATGTGTCCACAAAAAAAATACCCTAAAAGAAAACGAATATGTGGGTAATCATTGAACAACAATGAATATTTGTGACAATGAATGACAATGAATATTAGTTAGCAAAAATATTTTATCTTTTTACGATTAAACTAGGAGCCATCAAATTAACCTTTATTGATCTAGGGTCAAAGGTGATTCTCAAAGGATGCGTAGGAGCTTAAGATCTCAATTTTTTTACAAAAATAAATAAAAATAAGACAATATAAAAGGAAATGAAAGCATAACATGGTTCTTTGCAACTATGTTCTACACGTGGCGTTTTGCGTTTTTTACGTCTATTGTCAGGAGATACTAAAGATTCAAAGAAAAAGCTGCACTAGAAGTTGGATTTTTATATCACCATCCAGCGAAAAAAGCGAAAAATTTATATCTATTTTTCAATAAAAGATTTTTCAATAATTTGATTTCCAGCGAAAAACTTACATTTCCAGAAAACATGGATCCAATTCTCTATCAGAAATAGAATTATTGTTTAAAGTCAATTTAATGCTGGCTACTCACTTGAACTTTTATCGCCATTTCCCTTACTCAAAAATTTCCATGCCGACACAGAAGAATTAGCCTAGCCACAAATGAAAAGCGCCAACCACTTACTTATTTCCAGAAACTATTTCATTAAAAATATTAAACGGATTGATAGCAAAGCAACATAAACATTCATAACTATCCAAATTTTTTTCGTTTAATTTTTTGCAGACTACTAATGTTTTGCCAACGAATAACTATATGACTTATAAAAACGACACATTTATAAAATCACTCTTATATTTACTATTGAATAAATTATTCAAGAAATCCTTTTCTTACTTTCTGGGTACGAGTCATCCTCTACCAGAGGCCTGAAAGCTCGAAGGTTCTGCACTATCTTCATCATTCTATCTTACTGTTCCTAGCAACCTCTTACTGCGCCTTTTCTCGATAGAAATCTTTAATATTGTTCCCAGAACCTGTTTAAGATCACTTTTCTAGTTTAGTGGTCACATTCTCTAGTGCTCCTATTACGGCTGTGATTGCTTTGGCCTTCATTTTCCACATCTTCTTTTCCACTTTCAGCCTCTGATAGCTTTTCATATTCCTTCTTCCTAATTTTCCTGTCATATGGTATTGTTATACCACCAGCGTTTTTTTTGCTTTTTTTCTCTTGTCTATTACCACGATATGAAAAGCTGGTTGATTGGTTACTATTTGTTTTTCGGTTTGGATGGAGAAGTCCCACAGGATCTTTGCCCTCCACGATTTTCTGAGGAATCTTTCACCTGGTCTTGATTGAGTCTAAACCATATATTGAGCAAATAATCCCGTAGATAATGCTAGTTTTTGGACAGTTTGTAGTTTGAGTTTGAGCTTTCGTTCAAGATAGTATGATAGAACTTTCACACTCATCAAGCCCCACTCTTTAAGCGCTAAGGTTGGATTGGAAATTTCCGTGTTTGAGGAGTTTCCTGGTTTCTACATCCACAGCCTCCATGTCTTCCTTTGTCCTTCTCACTACACCAGTTGCATAACTAATGTCTAAAAGCTGACAGGACATACATATTTATGCCATGGACTTGTTCTTCGCATTGAGTTGGCGTCATAATCTGTGTTATTCTTTGGTGATGCTGCAATATTGCCTCAACATCATGTGACTATGGAAGACCAAGGTATTTATAGCTAGTCTGCTATACGCCTCATCAGTCATTACCCTATCTTTCCTATCATCCAGCCACATTTCTCCAGCCCGAATGATATTCCAGTGTTCTCGCTTTAGATTCATGATAAATGAATGAGCGAATCAATGCCTCATTCGTTTTCAACATATAACTTATCATCTATGGCTATTGTCATCTATGGCTATTTGTATCCATATCCACTTCTCGTGATCATCTGGTTGAGGAGGTTAGATCAATGCAGAAAATGAGAGAGACAATGCTTCACTTTAACATATTCCGCATTTGGTAACCACTTGTGCTGTAAGCTTTGTTGATTGCAAGTATTATTTTTCACATTGTGTTCCCGATAATGGTCATTAGGATTCTGTTGATTTATACAAAGCCAGATATTCACAAATCCATATGTGGGGCATTGAGTCAAAAACTATCCTATAGACAATCCAAACTGTGCACTGATTGATCTGCAAGGATTTTGAATCTTATCCATGAGTGTTTTGAGCTTGTGGTGTTCCCAATGCTTTTTTGAACCATGCTCCAGTGCTGGCTCATATGGCCATGAAACTTTATGGCTACGGTGCCTGCTACAGTTTTCCACATTATGGAAAGGCCAATTGACCGATAATTGGGCGACACTGATATAGTGGTTAAGGGCTAATGGTTAACATGGTAACAACAATGGAAAAACTAGCATTATCTACAGGATTTCCTGTTCATTATATAGCTTAGACCCAATCATGATCATATGAGAAACTCGCCAGAAAATCGTGGAGAATAACAGGGCAAAGATCTTGTGAGATTTCTTCATCCAAATAACAGAAAAACAAATACTGGCTAACCAACCAGATATCGTGGTAATTGACAAGGCAAAAACAAAAACAAAACAGCATTGGTGATATAGTAATACGAAATGACAAAGGAATGTGAAAAACTGTCGGGGACTGAAAGAAGAAATATAGAAGAAGTGGAAAATGAAGGTGAATGCAATCCCAATGGCAGTAGCAGCTAGAGAGTGTAAGCTCTAAGCCAGAAAAGTGGCTTCAATGGATTCCAGGAATATCTTCAGAGTCTCTTTCCAGAAGGACGCATTGCTAGCAACAACTGTGATACTATGATTTCTCAATCTACCAAGCCTCTGGTAGAGCACTTAAAGTTGATGAGTGACCCTTACCATCCACAGCGCATTTTAGAAAGAATTTTTTTTTTTTTATTTTTCTTTCTCATTCTTCTCATTATATATCATTCTTCTTATATTTCGTGCTTTATTTTATAATGTAAAAAGTATGGAATATTTAGGAAATATTAATACTATTAATATTAATATTAATACTATAAATTAGAGAAAATGTCATCGGTGACATTGGAACTAGTGAATTGCTCTTTAAAAATAAAAATAAACTGTGATTTAACTGAAGTGCAGTAAGTTCCACACTAAGGAAATCAGTATAAGCAAAGTTTAGACTGATAATCTAAAAAATAAGAGATAACCACTTAAGAGATTTGAATAAATTGTATTATAATTACAATATTATAATTACAAATAAAACATATATCTTTAACCATCTTCCTACAAAAATCGAATATTGTGTAATGAATGAATGAGGAGAAAGATTTTGAATAAACTTCAACATGGAATAAATAATTTCCATGATTGAAACTATTTCAATGGCAAAAATACCAACAATTGGCTGATAAAATGATACTCTATGGCTTTATTGCGTGCATATGCATGCCGCAAATAAAATTAGATAAATAATTTAAAGTCAAGAAGAAACTCACTGCTTTAATAATGGCAATCGAAAAGCTCATAATAAACTGGTTGAGAAAAAATTCACCACCTAAATTTTTTGAATTCAGATCAATGCCGAACGTGCAAACTCTAAAAAATTAATATGATAATAAAATTTATAAAATTAATAAAATTAACAAAATGAAAATTTTAACTCTGAATTTCCAATAAATATTAGTATCAAAAGAATTAAATGAATTTGTGAAACTTTTCTTTTTTTCCATGAATATAAAATTTTTGGTCATTAATCGCTTTTGCCAAAAATTTTTTTGCGATAACCATTTTATTACTACATAAACATTTTTTGGCAGGCTTTATTTATTTGTTTTACAGGCTTTTATTCTTCTTCTTCTAACAGCTCTCACCATTAGTGGTTAGGCTGGCTCCAACGGCTACAAGGGTAAGACGCTTCCAAGCGGCGCGGTCTGATGATATCATCGACAATAATAGAAGCCATTCCTTTTTCCATCGTCTAAGTCCATATATTGCTGGTCCACCTATACGTTCAAAATCTTTTCTCACCGTATCAGTCCAGGTCTTGATTGGTCAACATCGCTTTTGACGATTATACGGTTTAGCAAATAACGAAATATGCATCAACTCTTGTGGTGGAGAACATGCCCTAACTAGTGAAGGCGACGCTCTGTGATGCATCATTAATGCAAGTGGTATTTGAATGAAGATGGAATGCGATAATGTTTATCCGCTCGACGGACCTGTAAAATGTACCTTACGCAAGAGTGGATCAAAGGTAGATAGTTTCTTAATATTCTCCACTCTCATTGGCCATGTCATGTCCATAAAGCAAGATCGAACGAATCACGGCTATATAGATGCAAACTTTCGTTTTAATGGTAATTTCACGACGGCTCCATAAAAGTCTAGTCAACCGGAAGAATACATTTCTAGCTGCCATGATCCGGGCTATAATATCGTCTTTTGCCTGACCATTTTGTGTTAGAGAGAACCCAAAGTATTCAAAATTGGAGCATTTCCTCGATCGGCAAATTTACAAAAAGAAGAATTTTATCAGCTTCTTGCATATAAGGGAAATTTCGTTTTGTGTACATTGACCCTGAGTCCTATTTTTGCTGCAGTTTTCTGACATGTTATTTAGCATTACTTGCATTAACTGTCAGCATAAAGGACTATATTATCAATGTATTCAAGATCTGTGATACGATGCTCTGGACTGATTTGGATATCCCTTGAGTGCCGACAAGCGGTGTCCATTACCCAGTCTATCGCATAGTTGAACATTGTAGAGGAAAGGACGCAGTCTTGACGGACACCAGTTCTTATTTCGAAGGAGTCTGTCAGCCATATACACAGACCTGCGCTGACGTACGCTCATAAAATGCCTTTATAAGTCGAGTGATCTTCTCTGAAACACCATTCCATCACCCTCCAAAGCGCCTCTCTATCAATTGAATCAAAGGAAGCCGCAAAGGCAAGTCGTTAAAACACGTGACAGTGTGTTGCAAATATCTGAAGCGATGTTTCAATACCCTCAACGTGAATATCTGGTGAGCACAACTCCGCCCCTGTCTAAATTCAGCTTAATTAGGACGCACCCTGCTGCCTCGTACTTCCATAAGTCTGTCTAAAATAGAAGTAAAAATTTTCACTGAAACGTCTAGTGGGCTGATTCCTCGATAATTGTCGTAGTATGTCCTATCAACTTTCTTGAGAATTTGGAACAGAATTGCTTTGTTCCAATCATCTAGTAATATTTCTTTTTCCCATACCAGAGAGTACATTCGTTGAAGGTGTGTTATGAAGGACGATGGACAACATTTAAAAAGTTGAGCGTTTCTTCGGGAGCGTTTCTCCCGAAGACCATCTTCTCCCAGAGTCTTTTTGGCCTTAAGCTTGTGGAGATTATTTCTTCTTCTATTGGAGGTTCGCAACAGTTGCAACAGATGACGCTTCATGGTAAAATTTGGCCACAAAGAATTCTTTCCATCTTAAGAGGCGGTCCTAATACTTTTGATTGACAGGCCATTGCTGTCCCTTACCATTTCACTGATCGTTTCCCGAGTCATAGTTGCTTTATGAAGAAGGCGTAATAGTTTCCTATTATCGCTTAATCACTCCGCCTTCTATTCTCAAGGCCATGTCACTCCAATAGTGATTTCTATACCGTCGAGCTGTTTTCGTTGCAAATCTTCGAAGCATCCGGTAGCCAGGATCACATGACATTCGTGCTTTCAGTTTTTTCAGGCAGTTTGACAGTTGCTTTCGATATCCAACTAGCACACTTCCTATTAGTATGCCCTAGCGGGGAAGTGGCCGACTTTCGGAGATATTATTTTTTGTTTGGACCAGTATTCATTTGCCGTTCCAGGAAAGTCATTGATATTTGTATTATTGAGATGCTTCATAATTTAGTTTGAAATGCGCTCAATGCCCCCGAATTTTTTAGTTTGAGATAGTTGAAGGATCTTGGGGGATGTTGTTTTCTCCGAGTCGTCAGTTTTATGCAGATCTTGGCTCGAACCAAGAAAAAATCTGTTACTATTCTATTGTACTTCATCAAATGGCCTCCTTTGATATTTTAGTGATAAAGTATCTTTGATAAATATTTTAATAAAGGATGTCCATGAAAATTACGCAATAGAAAAAATATAACTAACCCACCGAAGAACCAAATAGCGCAAAGTGGTATAGTGTGAAAAGCAGTATTTTTATTGCTAAATAAATCTCGCATTGTATAAATATGCGGATGAAATGAAAGAGATGGATTAGCTTTTGCTGCATCTAAAATATGTAATAAGAAAAAAGACAAGTTGAAATCTTATTTATTTCCAGATCTCAGAGATTTCCATTAGCAAATATTAAGGAGGCTAACCATCTATTGGTATACCTCTATATCAACCAACTTACTTTTGTTGTGCAATTCTCCAACTGAAATATTAATCCTTCCGGTTGCTTTTCTTTCAAATTCTTTTGATTTGCACCATTTTGGACTTTCAGGTACAAAGAAAATAGCAAGTATTACAGGTAAAACTAAACAAGCATTAGCAATACTAGTGTACTGCCATCGAGGAAGAAGAAAGCAAATCAAGGTTAATATAGCCCTGGCATATCCCTTAAAAATTTTTTAAAAATTATTGCATAATGATATTAGCATCAAAATTATTTGAGATGAAGGAGGAATTACTATAATCGCAATATGAATAGTTCCTGTTATCACACAAAAGCATATCAGAATGCATATGAATAATAATTTAGATTGTCTTAGGAAAGGTTTCTGCACCACCGTTGACGGGAATAAAACTATTAGAAAAATCGGATAGTGCTGCTCATGAGTCAAGTGATTCCCAGGCAAAAACTTCTAACAATATTAAGAGCTAACGAGATTAGTCTATCCAGAAATGATGACTGCATTTATTTTATGCATTTATTTAAACTTTTACGGAGATGAAAAGAAGGAAAAACAATACCCAATTGAAAAAAGATCGAAGGAAAACTCGTTGTTCTGGTAAAATTAATTCCATAACGTATGTTGAAAATACGACTACTATACAAGCCATAGATGTGCCTGCAACGAATCGGAAAACCGCAAACCATTTCCAAGATGTCGCAAAACCTGTCAAATTTTTAAATTAAATTTTTTCGATAGACTTTGTGAACAACAATACCAGCATGGTTCAGCAAGATTATAAAAAATGATCAAAGTCTCAAATTTAAAATTAAAGCTTTACTAAAATCTTTACTAAAATTTTTCAAAGGAGCAATGAAATGCTAGGGATTCACGTCGAAATAAGCAGAAATTATTGTTATTGGCTAGAAGGATAACCTCAAATTCAAATTTTCACCTCAGGAACCTGAAGCCTATCTATATGCTCAAGATATAATGCCAAGATCAACTCATCAATGATTGTTTCAATCATTGTTCTTTTTTTCTTGCGGCACTCACCACTTCTGCTTTATCTAACTTGGGTGAAAACTTTTACCACAGACCCAGGTAAGGATGAAATACGTCTCCATAACCACCTGGATTTCATTATGCTCATATTATCATATAGTACGATTTCAAAACACTATATATATATATATATAGTGTTTATAATCTATATAGATATCTCAACATAGAAAAAAGTATGTGAATAATAATCGATAGATGCTACATATCTCTCATTTCATGGGTTTTTAATGACAACTTTCCACGGACAAGGAAGAGGAATCCATGATACTTGACACTAATTGGAACAGGAATCGGTCTTCTTGAGCCACTTGAGCCATAGTCAAACGATAAATCCCTTATGCTTATAAATAGTTTATGGGGCTCCATGGCAAGATAAATCCTGGAATCAAGACTTGGGTTCGAGTGCAGCCGATGAACCACACCTCATCGAGCTGCAATTGCCTAGGAGAAAATAGTGGAGAGTAGAATAGTGGGCTGCTACTGAGCTCTAAGCTCAGATGCTGAGGTTCTACTCCCAGCAGGAGTAGCAGGAGTGAACTGTCCAAAACGGGTTGATACTGGCGACTCCATTGTCAAAAGACTCTCTGGTTTATTTGTCTAACCCGCAAGCCAACGAGTGCTAGTCTAGCCAATAAGCCAGTGCCCTTTAAAAAAAGCCAACTAACGATGAGCCACAAGATCTCGGAGGAAAAAAATCGCTAAAAAATACCGCTAATAATCCCAGAAATCAGGCCAATTAACAATCCAATAATTGTTGTAGGTTTTCGGCCAAGAAGATCACCTACGTGGCCATAAATTACTGTGCCACAAAATACTCCAAGAAACTGCCATGTAGCGACCTATAGTGACAAATACAATTTTAAAATTTATATCTTGAAGTCATTATTTATCTTCTTTATTTGGTTTCATTCAACAGAAAAATCCGACTAGGAAGATATAGTGCACATATTAGAATCATTGCTGAAAAATCGTTTTTGACTAAAAATTACGATTCGTATTTTGTTTATTGAAAATGTGATTACCAAAGTTGCTGAATAAGCGTCATCACCGCAATATAAGTGGAAATGTTCGACGATCCCATAGAAAGGTGTTTTGAGAACAGTAATATTCTTACAATCGCTAAGCAATTCACATTGTTCTTGTCCATCATCTTTGCAAATTTTTTTCGAAAAATTCATGGTTCTTTTATAATCCGCTGAAAAATCAAATCCTTATCTAAACATTAAAAGTTTTAGAAGTTAATATTATTAATATTTTGAGAAAATAATATGTTCACATAAAACCAAAATTTATATTAAGAAAATAAAAATATTCCTCGCGAAATCGCATAAGTTATTTTAGAATCGGAAGGCAAAATTTTATATATAAATTTTAACTTAACCGATTGTTTCTTTGTTCTGCTCTGAAATTTTTGTACTATTTATAGAATATTTCAGAATTTTAAAACTAAATATACAAAATTTTTTGTAAATATAGAAAATTATTTCAAGTTGAAACATCCAGAGAGAATAGGTGCATTTCAAACTGAGATGTCGAGGAACTTAACAGCTGTAGCATCAATGATAGAATTATTAGCCGACAAGACCAAACCTTGGGCTGACGTCTTGTGTCCAAGAAGTATCTGAATCCGCTTAGTCACTCGAAGATGGGCAAATTGGGTTTCCAACGAAGCAATCCAATTAAATTTTCAGATATTTGCAATCCACTGTCACGTGTTTCATCGACTTTGCGGCTGCCTTTGATTCAATTGATAGAGAGGCACTTTGGAGGATGATGGAATGCGATGGTGTTCGAGAAAAAGATCATTCGACTCATAAAGGCATTTTATAAGCACACCTCGGCTCAGGTCTGTGTATATGAGGAACCAACAGACTCCTTCGAAATAAGAACTGGTGTTCGTCAAGACTGCGTCCTTTCCACTACAATATTCAACTATGCGATAGACTGGGTAATGGACACCGCTTGTCGGCACTCAAGGGGTGTCCAAATCAGTCCAGAGCATCATATCACAAATTTTGAATACGCTGTTAATGTAGTCCTTTTTGCTGACAGTTATGACAAATGCAAGTAATGCTAGAATGTGCCAGAAATTGCAGCAAGAATAGGACTCAGGGTTGTTGTCCACAAAACGAAAGAACTCTTTTCGTTCAAAAAGCTGTAAAATGCCTCTTTTTGTAAATTTATTGCTGGTTGAGGAAGTGCCTGACTTTAAATACCTAATACCTAATGGGTCGACTCCAATACCAAATGGCCAGGAAAAAGACGATATTATAGTCCGGATCATGGCAGCTAGAAATGTATTCTTCCGGTTGACTAGACTTTTATGGAGCTGTCGTGAAATTACCATTAAAACGAAAGTTTGCATCTATATAGCCGTGATTCGTTCGATCTTGCTATATGGACATGACATGGCCAATGAGAGTGGAGAATATTAAGAAACTATCCACCTTTGATCCACTCTTGCGTAAGGTACATTTTACAGGTCCGTCGAGCGGATAAACATTATCGCATCCCATCTTCATTCAAATACCACTTGCATTAATGATGCATCACAGAGCGTCGCCTTCACTAGTTAGGGCATGTTCTCCACCACAAGAGTTGATGCATATTTCGTTATTTGCTAAACCGTATAATCGTCAAAAGCGATGTTGACCAATCAAGACCTGGACTGATACGGTGAGAAAAGATTTTGAACGTATAGGTGGACCAGCAATATATGGACTTAGACGATGGAAAAAGGAATGGCTTCTATTATTGTCGATGATATCATCAGACCGCGCCGCTTGGAAGCGTCTTACCCTTGTAGCCGTTGGAGCCAGCCTAACCACTAATGATGAGAGCTGTTAAGAGAAGAAGGATCCAACAAAATCGCTAGAACGCACTTATAAGGAGACATCAACTATCGATGGCTCCACAAACTGGTACGATAAAAAAAAATTGATGCTGTAACAACAGTTGAATATGGAGGCTGCAGCTCGAATAAGCGATAATGGAAAATTTTTTTCTCTAATTCCCAAAACGAGGGTAACTTGACTGGCAATTAGTGAGATAATTCGATAAGAATGGAAACCCTTTTAAGAATCTCGACAATTACTTATCTCGATGAAAAGAAGAAATTTCTTTAAGCATTAACTATAGTATGATTAACATATTAACAAAGGTATTGTTACGGAATTTTTGGAATAGCTGAAATCTTCAAATGCTATCCAGCATAATTTCCATAACCTTTTTGAAAAATTTGTAATCACTGGTATGGAATAAGGAACAAATACAATGACTGGAGCAAGGCAATTCTATTCGTAGTGCCAAAGAAATTCCGATAACTATGAAGAAACTATGAGCTTGACATACCTAGGAAGATTTCTCTAGCAAATCATAGCAAATACATGGTATCATAATCACCACATCCTAATCAATCTGAATTCAGATCGTATACTTACCAAATTTTTATATTGAGAATAATATGGAAATATCACTTCAATTTGAGCTTCACATGCATCACGTTGAATTTGTCCTTTCTATTCCCTCCTCTGACAGGCTATGGGGCAGATTCGTATTCCAGAAAAGATAAATGGATTAATACAGGGAAGCAGTAATGGGGATGCATATATATGGTGAACTTTTGATAAACTGGGATGTTATTTTTTCAACTATATATAGGCTGGGTTATGAACATCGAATGAATATTGTGAATATGTCAGCAGTTAAAAAGATCCAGAATAACATCACAGATCTTGAATATGCTGGCGTTGTCGTTTTTGCGTACGAAGAATTACAACAGCGATTAGACTGAGTGTCAACAGCAAAAAATTGACTTTCATATCAATATAAATAAGACGAAAGCCTTTTTTCTTCTTATATATCCGACAGAATTTTTCAATAGTCCAAAATATATCGGATATTAGCGAAGTATTGCCAGTGAGAGTGGAAGATGTGAGGAAGTTTTCTGACCATACTTCAGTACATGCTGTATACTCGTGTATAAGATCTCAGATGATAGTATGTATCCACTTTGCTCAAATACTACACTATTGAACATATCGTTACTCGCCTTATACGCTTATACGCTGGTCAGACAACATTCATTTAGTTTATCATACATTTCTAAATAGTGAACCTTGTGATCGATAGTTTTAAAAATAATGGGGCACAATCAAAACAGGGAGAAGCACGGCCAGAAGAATTTCCAGCATACAATTGGCCTAGCAATCTATGGACTTGGAAAAAAGATTAAATTAACTTCAGGCATGGCATCGAATCGGGAGATTCAAAAGTATCTCAGTAGCCAGAAGAATCAGCCAAACCAATAATGCGAGCTGTTAGACGAAGAAGAAGTTAGTCTAATGGTTGTTGCTCAGACTATCGCCAATGTCCTTGCCGCCAAGAGAACTAAATCTCTCGCTGGAACTAAATCATTTATTTTCATTTTTATTTTCGCACATTATTTATTAGCGCTTTATTAATTAAATATTAGGCAATGAAAATATAGGTGGTTCGTCGGCAACACCCAGATTTTTTATTAACAGGTTTCATTATTACTGAGAGCGAAAAGAGCCGAATCCTCCTTCTTATACGAACGATAATACAAGTCATCATTATTCATTCGACTATCTTGTTCCAATATTTTATTTCTAATTAAATATTTTTTTTTATAGTAAAAAATTTATCTTTTTTATGGAAAATTTGTAAATTAAGAACTAAATTTCTAAAAGAAACCGTTAATATCATCGTCGTTGCACAGTCGCTGGGGATAATAGTTGAAAAATGTTGGAAAAACTTCTTGTGCAACAAATGCCAATGCTAATTGCCATAGAACAAATATGAGAATGTGAAATCGGTTAATATGTAGATGCACTGACTTCATAAAAAATTCTAAATTATCTTTATCAAAATCACTTTTATTCGCTCTTTAAATTCTTATCCTAGTCTATTGAATCTCAAGAGTCGTTCTGTAACGAACTGTTAATGTGCATATTTCTTCAATTTGAATAAGATGCATGCGATTTGTGAAATAATAGTCTTTAAAATAATAGTCTCTGAACAATAGCTGACTCGTATTTCCCTTTAATGACAAAACTAAAGACTCAAACCCTGAGGTCAAAAGGCAGTCACGATTTCTAATGTTTATAGATAGAGTTACATCATAAGAATTGATATTTTTGAAATCAGGAAATTAGAATCTGCAAAAAAGAGGAAAATAAGATAATAATTTGAGAATTTGTAGCTTAAAACGATAATTAGACGAAAAGTTGTCTAATGGTACTTCAAAGACGAAAAAACAAAAAAACTGCTTCATAATATCACAAGACAACCGAAATATTTACGACCAAAACTTCTTATTTTTATTTTCATGATAAATGAACGATAATAATAATATTTCTTCAATTTGAATAATGAATGAATAAATGAATAAGTTCAATTTGAATTGAATCCGAATTTTTTCACAGTTGAATCCGAATCAGTGAACTTGAACTACCGCGAATTCTTTTCACCGCCATCCATAATTCACGACAAGTGTAAAGTGTGATACAAAAAATGCAAGAAAGTAAATTTAAGGCAAAAACTTGTTATTTAAAATAAAATTAATTGCGATTTTTTAAAATTCAAAACGAAGTGCAGTCATCCAGAAATTATTGCCACTAAAAAAATGAAAAATTTGTAATGAATGCTTCCTTCGATATTTGCAATAAAGAAATTTGCCTTCTATTTTTGACTGAATCTAGAATTATTATTTTTTCTACACATAGAAAAAGTGAAATATGCCAAAATTTTAAAAAATTTGCAGGTTCATGAAAAAGGAGTAGGACAGTCGAGCAAAAAACTCGATTGCTATGCCGAAAGGCAAGCAATCTTACCGCTGGCATAAGAAATTTTATCACTGAAAAAGATCCAGGTAATTTCGACGCATTACTGATAGTTAGTGAAGTCAACGAACCAGAAATGGTGCCCTAACAGCTTACTTTGAAACTGGATTTCTTTTAAACTCCAGTGAACTTATTTCCAAATATTTTATACTAACACAATTAAAGATGAATCATATCGCTTCATGAAATCCAGAAAACATATGTTTTTCGAGAAAAAGAACAATGAAATTGCAAAATTCAACTATGCAGCTTTTTTCATTATTTACTTCATATGGCTCCAGTCAGAGAATCACTTTGGGAGCGGCTTTCAGGCTTAGGTTCACTCTCATCCACTATTAAAATAATCCAGCTAAATGATAATCAATCAACTGCAATAATAAACAAGAAGTGATTGGTACTCACCTTTCTTTTTAGACTAGCTCAACTAGCCATAACTAGGATGATAAATTTCTGTCAGTCACTTTGGGAGAAAAGCAGAGATATTCGGTCAGCTACGTGCTCATCCTTGTAATTTGAATAATGTTCCGATTAACGAAATATTTATAATTGGAATACCATGTTGCTCCTTAATTAATCATAATCATATTTATCTCTCCAATATGATTTGCAAGAACAAACTTTTGTAACTAGGAACTAATTAGGAACGAAACGCTAAATTCGAGAAACGCTTGATTCAAATGAAAACTCTGCTTTTGAAAAATTAAATCCAAAACAACTGAAAAAAATAAATGGCTAACAAATAATAATTGCTCATTTTCATTTTCTAAATGCAGCTCATTTTCATTTTCTAAATGCAGCTTGTACATAGAAAATAAATCATAAATTATTAAATTTATTTCACTCTGTAAAATTATTTACGATTCGAAAATAAATTTATTATGCCTATGAATATTTTCAAAAATATTTATTTATGGCTTCATTATTAATATTTATGGCTTTAGAATTATTCTAAAAATATAAATTATTTCTGTCTAAAGAACTAATATATGATATTAAAATATAAGATATCGAAAAACTGCAAACCTAAGGTAAGGAACTGAAAGGATAATTCTAGTTTCAAATAAAATATTATACAATAAAGTAAGCAGTATTAAGTAAAAGGTCCAAAAAATAAAGGAATCAAGTAAATTGATAAGTAAATGTACTATCTTCAAAAAGTAATTAAATTTCTAGAATTTTGCAAGAATTCGCGGTTGGACCACAGCCTTCATATTCGTGTAAATTTGGGTTATCCAAGTCTCCGCGATTAGTACCTTTTTCATTACCAACGTTACCTGCTAAAGGGGCTCCGAAGTTTTTTACGCAAGCACATCTAAATAATCAAATAAATAATAATAAGTTTATGAAACATTTTGCCATCATATTTAAAACTTTCATATTTCACATTTAAAACTTTAGAACCACCTGTATGTTTTCGTCCCAGGACTGAAAAGTTTCCGAGGAACTCCGCTCCAGGATCGATGAATACCGCCACTGAAATAAATGTTTGATTCTTTTACGTATAAGATTCATAAAGAACTGGGAATAATGAAGAAAAAATAAAAGACTATAAATAAAAATAAAAATAAACTATTAAAATAAACCTTTTAGTGGAACACCAAACTCTTCCTCCATTATCTTTATGCCATTCAGAATTGCAAGGTGGAAAAACTTCAACTTCTTGTACTTGCGCTGCTTTCCAATGAGTAGCATCTTCAATTAATCCCAGTACTTCCTAAAATCACCTAATTTCATTTATGCTAATCATCTATTTTAATGATAAATATTCGATAATCGATAAATAATAATTAGCCAATTCTACAATAATTTATGGAAAAAAAATGTATATTATTTACTATTATTTCATTATCGAATTAACCACGTTAATTCTTTTGGGTGTGAAGGTTTTGCATGTTCTTTTCTTCTTCTCAATTCTTCTATTTCTCTCACCCTTCATTTGTATTTTACTCTATCGTCGTACTAAATATTATTTCTCGGCACTTAATATTATCATTTAGTATTGTAAATTAACGTTGTGCAGCATATAGAATCTAATAAAATTTCATGATCTTTTTTTTTTAACGCCGTATTTTTTTCACTATTCTTTCAGCAACAAAAGAAGGAACTGATATCACCATTTTTAATAATCATCTCAGATAAATTTTGTAATGAATTGGAAATTTTGATCAGACGAATAAACCATAAATATTTACTTTCAAACGTTTCGTAGGCATTCCATGTGCATCGTAATACGTCCCTTGCAGAAAACCAACTAGAACATATTCCTTTTCATAAAAATTGCTCCACTCAAGTAACCCGAGTAAATCTTGCTGATTTAAGTCACTTACATCATCAGTAAGTCCAGCTTCACTGAATTCCCCTGTGACAAAAGCTCGAGTAGCATCTTTGCCTAAAAGAACTTCATTTTAGAACATGGACCGTAAATAAACATGAATCTATTGAATAATTCGAAATGATCAATTAGCCCTCATTTAAAAGATTTTTAAGTCAAAAGAAGCATGATTTTACAATTCATAGATTTATGATTTTACAAGAAAATTCAACCTTTTTCACTAGAACATATTCCATCTTATAAAAACTGCTCCACTCAAATAACCCGGGAAAATCTTACCAATTTAAGTCACTTAAGTCATGAATAAAATAAAATAAAATATACCTGCAAAGAAATGATAGCCGCCGCCAGGTCCATAATGTTTGTAACCTTTTTGCACATTATAAACGCGTCCCAAAAAAGCAAGATAAACATCTTTCGATGGACGCGAACCGTCAAAAAATGATAATTGTTCGCTATAATTGTTTTTTTAACAACAGTATGAATCATTTTATATGGAAAGAAGTATAAAAATGATAAAGCAATACAAGAGTATAAAACGTGGCTTTCAAATATTATTTTCCCATTGGGCAAAAAATTATTTTCATTCATCGAAAATATTTTACAAAAATATTACGAAAATCAGATACCCACCTACTGAAAGTCTGCAGACCATGAGATTTCGGCAAAACGTTCATGTGGGGAAGCACTTGTATGCTTTCATGCTTCCAAGTTGGATTCTTTTTCGATTCGTTAGTCGTTTCATTGAAATCAAATGAAAATAGAAATTTTCGAATAGAATCAAAGATGTTTTTAACGGTCGAAATCTAAATTCAAAAAAGAAAAAATGAAAAATTCACAGTAAAAGTAAAGAAAACAGAATCTATCATTTTTAAATCTATCATTTCAAACCACCATTTCATTTCTACCGAGTAATTTGTTCAATGTTTTTAAATGGATTTTGATTTTTTGATTGATTAGCTATTTAAATTAAAAATTAAAAATTTTTATGAATTACCCTCATATATTTCATTTATTAATTTAATTTTTATGAATTACCCTCATATATTATATAATTAATTATATAATTATTTAAGTATAAATAATTCCATAATAAACTGTACATACAAGATGATGCGTCGGTGACTTAACGGCAAGACTGCTACCGAAAATCTAGACTTGGTTTCGAATCCGTCGACTCACCACCCTTCATTGTGCGGCGTTGTCGCCTAACGGAGAAGGGGTTAAGGAAAATAGAATGGCCCAGAAGGTTTTATTCAATTCGAAGTGGCTATGTTGAAATTTTACTTTCGACAAGGATAAAACCTGCCAAAGTCCGGGTGACCCTGGCGATTCACTTGTACTCACTTGTGTCGCCAAGGGACTGCCTGGCACATTTGTCTAGTGCGTAAAGCCAGCGGACCAGTAATATTTATAAAATAAGGAATAAGAACCTTTTCCAACTTGTCAACAACCCAGTGGAGAGCATTATTAAGAAATTTACCCGCATGAACACCACAATAGCTGAGAAGAAATGATATAAAAGCAACCTAAAATAATAAAAATATTCTTTGCAGTAGCTATATGAGATGTGAAAATTGATAATTCGAAAAAAGAAAAATAATAGAAAAGGGGAAAGAATGAACTTTTTCTTCCGATAATGCATAAAAATTAAGAAAAAAAGGAAAAAAATTAGAGAAAATTTTTTTAAATTTTGCAGAAACAAATAAAATAATACTTGTAGAGCGCTGCAAACCAAAAATGATGTGTAGAGCTGAGGTGAAGCATTTCTACTGCCCATTTTATTGCCTTCCTTTGTCCTCTATTTATTTCCTTTAAACATCGTCGATAAACTGGAAAAATTACTAAAATGAATAATGAAAAAATTTTTAAAAAATCAACTTTATAAAATGTATATATAGCTCAAAATTTTAAAACCATAACGTATTAACAAATTGTTATACTGAACATATTGTTAATTTTCAGTTATTAATTATTATTTTCAGTTATTAAAATTTGCGGTTTTCTTCTTCTGACAAAGCATACACCATTTCTGGCTTCACTGAGACTCCCTTGCTAACAGCTTTTTCGGATGATAATGGGCCAGGGATCTGTGTTAAGATAGTTCAGCCGCGCTAGGACTAATATTCGAAGGAAGCGACGCCAATCGAGGCAAAGTGCTGCCTACCGCACCCAGATTTTTCCAGCAAAACTTCGATCAATTAATCCAAAGCATTCATTTATTAGTGAAAAAATAAAATAAAATGCCGTATGGTAAGGAATAATCTCAGAAGCAAAATAAATTATGGCAAATTACTGGTGAAGGAATACAGAAAACAGATAACAGAGAAGTTCTTCAGTTACCGATGAGAAAATTATTGGGGAACGACGAGAATGGACAAAAGTGAGGAAAAATTAAAAAAAAGGTACCTCATAGCGAAAAAATTTAAATGAGCAGTCCACAAAAAGTCTACAATAATATTGCAAACTGCAAAAGCGGAATGTACCAAGTGAGTGCTACAGACTGTCGTATTATAAAATAGGAAAGCTACATCTGACAGGAGAAAAATTCCCAGAGATGTTGGCAGTGGTACTCAACTCTCTTACTTCTACCGCCAAGTGATTCGCTGACTAAAAATTCTACTCGTACCAACAGTTACGGGAAGCACATACAACTTAATTTTTGCTTACGTTGCAAAAATTAAAAACAATCGTTTTCTTCAAATTTTATAGATTAATAAATTTCAAAAGAAATGAAGCATAATTATAAGAAATTTTGAAATGAATTTCTGCAAAAAAATTTAGATCGAAACAAAAAAATTATGCACTGATGTGACGAATTTAAAATATTTTCCAATAAATTATGAGATATTCTGGATGAGCGGTTTTCTCAGTGGCCAGTGACTTAATTTCGTGGAATTATATAAAAGAGTAAGGAAGGATAAAAAGAATTTTAACAATAAAAAATGGAAACATCTTTATCAATGAGATTTTTTTGAAAAACAAATTCTCCTGTCCATAAAAATTCCATTCCTCTTCCCTTCTTCCTTTTCTTTCCTTCCATCCTCTGCTTTCATCATCTTCACCTTCGATGAAAAGGACACAAAAAAGAGCCGAAATAAACAAACTATCAAGCGAATATTTGTACCATACATGCTTCGACTAAAAGTGGCCGCAGCCGTAATAAATAGTGGTCCGGAGAGCATCGATATGCACCACCGAGATTTTTTATTATCGGTTAACTCTTGTCAATGACGTAGTCTGAGCAACTCGGCTAATCTGACCACTGATGGTTGAGCCTGTACCAAATTAATCCCTCATTGAGTTCCTCACATGCATGGTAACTCGTACTGAAAGAAATTTTAGAAACAGGTTGATGCCATCATAAAGTCCATGCGAATAATAAGCATAATTTAATGCATTTGTAATACGGTGAAATATTTTCCGGAGAGACTACAATTTTTAGAAAGTCTAAAATAGAATAATTAATTCGGAAGTACCAAATGTACTTCTTTTCAGCACCACTCGGACTCTATTTTAATTAAAGATTTACTCGTTAAACGATAGAACCGAACCCATAATGGTTTGCAACAAGGGGCACCACTAAACAACAAAAAAAAAGCGGAAAGGGAAGAGAAATGAAAAATGAAAAATGTTTAACAATGTTTAAAAAAAAGAAAATTATAAATTCGCTTGCTTGGTAAACTATATGGCAAACGCTCTTCCGGTAATGTAAAACTACGGTAATAACCTTGTTCAACGGGCAACATTATTGCTTGGTTGCAAGGTTGGGTTGGCATTCGATTCGAGTCATATCTGAAACTGACAGGAGCCCTTTCACTGCCCCTTAGCTCATAAATCGTCGAGGTTCTCAGGTGTTCAGCACCTCGCCGTATATCACGAACGGCTGTTGTCCGTCATCTTCGGCAGCATTCCGCGGGCTCTGCCACTTCTAGCAGCGAGTGACAGTCGCCCATTGTAATAACAGCCAGTGTAGAGAACTTAACGAGGAATGTTGAGTGCCAACCACTAAGAACAATAGAATGTCGTATTTTCTTGAACTATAAAAAGTGTTTTTAGGGTATTCTGCCGAACTTTTCGCTAAAATGCCTTTAAAAATGAATATTGTATGTTTCTTTAACGAAATTTTTGAAGCATTCGCACAGAATATCGATGGTAACGGACAACAACAACCAACAACCAACGAAACGTTGTCCGATGAGCGATTTCAAAGGCAAATGCAGTGTTATAATATTTGTTCAGCTATCGCTTTCCACTTATTTTCTTTCTAAATTTTTAATTTTAGATCAAATTTGGATAAATAAATTGGTTATCGATTACAAGAAAAGCAATTGATAGAGCTTTAGATTTTCTTCAAGAAGAGAATTTGATTTTGTTTCTAAAATTCATCACCGAGGAATCGTTCTATCCCAAACAGATTTTGTGGCCAAAGGATTTCGATTTCGGTAGCACGTGGTGCGCCAACGCAGCAGTGCCACTTCTGGCAGAAGTTAACCTCCCATCGTCCAAAAATACACATAATGCTAGCGATTCATTTTTCGCCAATTGGCTTCCTCGCAAAATTTATCTGGTTCAACGAGCTGGAAGAACGAGTCTAATCAGAAATGGTATGCTCATAAGAAAAAAAGCCACTAGGGCCAACTAAGCGTTACCTTAGTTATTTATTTAGAGAACCCAAACCCACTGTCGTTATTACTTCCATTGCTACTTCTATCTTAAGGAGCTATTTTTCATACAAAATTTGATCGATGATAATCGTTTGCATAAGATATATGGCAAGATGTTGTTTCTCTATTTAAAAATGAATCAACTGATCTACTGGCCAAATACCTGTGGTACCACAGCTATAATTTTCTTGGTAATAATAACTGTAGAAATGATCAAAATGGATGGCCCAATAGACTATTTGAAATCGATATATTGATTTATTACATAGTTATAAGATGTGATTTCCATGCGCTGGCATATTCAGAACATTTGGAAGCGATCACAAAAATTGTTATAATACTCGACAAAATTAATCGGAGAAAGAAGAAAGATTAGAAGGGCTATTGCTATTTTAGGGAAATAGGCGAACGATATGGGACTTTGAAAAAAATTAAAATTATTAATGGCCAAAGTAGGATATAACTCATTTAATGGGCAAAATAAGCGATAGATATTACGTGTGAGCGGAATATCGTGGCGGTATTTTGCATGAAGCCAGTGAATCCCTTGACGAAAGGACGGATTTCCACTGAAAATAACCGAACTGATCATCCACTTACCGAATCCTTGGAAGTTTAACGAAGCGGTTTCACTGTAGTAAACAGTGCAAGCAATTAACCACAAAATGGTGAGCACTTTTAGGAGATTAAGAAATTCTATAATGTTTATGGAAGGAAGTTCCATTCAAATGTAAACGTAGACTTTGTGATAATCAACTGAATAAAAGATGCAAAATGATTCAATAAAATACCACCATTCCAAGAAGGAAGAACCAATGAATCAGGATATTTTAATGTTTGCTTTACAATGCCAGCGCTCAGCACTCTACTTTTTAGCAAAATATTGAAGTTTAAATTTCTTGTTTTTTAAAACTGAATCGTCTCCAATGTGGTGGTTAAAGGATTTCAAAAATTTTAATTAGTTTCTATTTACATATATAGGGACGTTTACATATAAATATAAATATAAATAGGTACGTTTATATAAAATATATAAATAGGTACGTTTCTGTGTTTCGAGTTTGAAAACATAAAAAATAAATCAAAGAAAGAAAACGAATGGTGTCGCCTATAATTCTTTTCCCAAGTAATTCTTTGGGATCTCATTCCAGTAGTAAGTAAATTCAGACGAAATGGTAAATGCTATTAGAAAAACAAAGATTGCAGAATCGATTAATAAATAAAGGTTATAAAAATCCTCATTTCCTGTGGGTGGTAAGAATCATCCTCAACCTCGAGTCTTTTTCCAGAAGCCTGGAAGATTGAGGGGCAATATCTTAGCTGTTCCTAACAGTAGGTTCCTCTGACCAGAGATCTCTGAAATTGCCTGTTAGAGGCACCTCTAATTTATGGGTTCCTTAGTGCTCCTACTTGCATCTCCAATGTAGTTCCCATGAGGTTATGCAAAGTGCTTGTCGATCGTCCGCCCACCACATTTCTTCACTCCCAGTGTTCTTGCTGTAGATTAGTGTTAAGCCAATATCTCACTCGCTTTTAGCACATAACTTAAGATGGTAGTTCCGCTCTTGAATTTGTATCTATGTTCACTTCTTGTGATGATCTGGCTAAGGGATTTAGAGCTATACAGGACAGTAGCGGAGATAATTCACCCTTGATATATGCCGCATTTGATAGCCACTTGTGCACGTTTTGAATGCATTTGGTTTGTAATGGTTAGTAGAATGTTGTTTTCCACAGTCAGTCCTATTGAATTCTCGATGATGGTTTTTAGGATCCTATTGATTTGTATAGAATCACACATTCATACATCAACATGTGTGGCATCGAATCACAGGCTTTCCTAAAGTCTATCCAAGTTGTCCATGATTGGTCTGCTGGGATTTTGAGTCGTGAGGGATCTTAAGAAACTGTTAATGGCTCATATGGTCTTGATGGCTATGATATTTGATAATACGTTTTATGGAGATAGATTATTGGTCTGCAGTTGCATGATGTTGTTCTTCTGCGAGGATCTTTCGAATCAGTATTGTCATCCTCTGTGTAAACCTGTGCTTGCCATAAGCAGCTAGTTCCATATCATTAGGCGTTCGGTAAATCGCTTTTAGTTTCTTTA